CGTCAAATCATCGTCTGTACACAGGCCTAGATAGCAAACTCCATAAGGGCAATCAGTATCAAGTGTGCACCATTTGACTGGTGCTCTGCAGGTTCCTTCACAGCGTTGGCTAGAGCATTGCTCATCTTCGTCACAAAAGCAACCCAGCTCCATCCTGCCATCCACAGTAGAAGCACAGATGGATTGGCCACTTCGAATAAGGCACAACCCAGAGAGGCAATTGCGGTCCTGATAGCACGGTCGACAACCCTTCAGCCGAGATTGGCAGGCATATGGCGGGGCATCACCGCCGCAGAGCCCCGATCTACATTTGTCGTGTCCATCGCAAGCCTCTCCTTCTATCAACAGAAACTTGTCCTCCATTTGTGCCTCTGTGACGTTGGCTCTTTCCGTCTCTTTGGATGATGGCTCGTCGAGCGTGGCAATGGGTGCAATGGTGGTAGCGTTGTTTCGTTGACTGAAGCCTGAAGACGTCGTTAATCTGTTTGGCTCTGCTCTCATCGAACGCACGATGACGACAACAATGAGGAAGACGACGCAACAGAACAAGAAAACCGAGGACGCGATAAGAGACTTGAGTGTGCAACATAGGACCTTTCTTTGAGTCTTTTGTCCATCATTCCGTTCGTCGTCGGTCTCAGGACCCTCCTCATCGACGAATTCATCTCGAGGCAAAACTCCTTGGGTCCATTGTTCAACTTCTTTCTCTTTAGCAGCAATGAATTGACGAATAATCCCTCCTTCAGGACCAGGAGGCACACTGAGAAGCTTGTTCCCATGGGTCCTCACATCCTCAATGTCGGCAACAGCCTGAAGATCTGGAAGACATTGCAGGAAATCTGGGACTGGATCAGGGTTGTTGGTATAGTCGTAGTTGCAGTAGGTGGTCATCGTGGGAGATCAACTCGTCGAATGGAGAGTCTTCTCCTCTTGATCTCATGCAATCATTTTAATATCTGTGCACATATTATTCAACATTTCGAGAAACTAAAATCGCAATCATGCCCCGGAAGAACAAGCTCCACGAAAGCCTCCCACCAAATTTGTTGAGGCATAAACCCCCACAGTGATGGTGGAGCTCCTTAGGAAATCGGCGATCGCCACCTTTTAAATGGAAAACAAGGACTAGAGTTCTCAACGCATCACTCAAGGCATACGAAGCTACCTCGAGTTGCTCTTTATGCATACTGTAGTACATGTACGTACCGGTACCAGAAAGGGTGCTGGTATTCTACCGGTGGTAGCATGTTGCTCCAGTCCATGGATTGGATTTTGAGATTTCAGCCCTGATGTTAGACTAGAGAATTCAATTCAAACAGACTGTACCGGTATGGTACTGTACATACCGTACTGTACTAAATTTAAATATGTAGTACCTTAAACCTGTACGGTACGTAGGATAGTTTGTACGGTACCGTACGCTACCGTACCGTTTATGGCTCTCTGGTGCTTACACTTTTTATTCGCGCGATCTCTTTTAGTCGCTCATCTGAGATTACTTTTGTGGTTCGAAGCTCGAAGCCTTCCTTGTTCCCTCCTTTGTTGTCGCTCTTGGCAAGCCAATTTGATTTATTTGCAAGCCCAGGTAGTACTACCGCTACCGCAGTATGCCTCCGCAGCCACAACAGCACGAGGCCTATGCAACCCGCAGCCTCGCCGCTTTCATTTGGAAACCTCACTCCGGGATGATCAGAACACAGACACTGAAATGTTTCGAAATCAAATCTTTGTCTAGACTGCTCAGTTGATGGCGAAAGGTGAAAGGTTCGAGCTTCGTCTATATTATCTAGTATCTACCCTCACCATGTGGCTGTGGGGTTGCTTGTCCCATTAGTGCTGTTCCTAATTGCTTTCTCTACATGTATGCCAGCCATACTGCCCATCTCATTCTTGATAGCTTATCACAAAGGCCTATGCAACCTAGCGTCCCCAAACAGCCACCATCACTCTGCTAGCCAAATTATTAGAAGTGGGAACAACTGAAGCACATCTATTTGGTCCTCAGTTGGATAACATCACTACGTGTACATGTAGTCATGTAGTGCTAGGACGCGTGGCTAGAGGCTACTCAGTAGTAGCTAGGCTAGTCCGCTATCCTCTTCGTGGCTTCGTGGGTTCCTTTCGGACCCCGACGCTCAGTCCAATAAAATACATTAAATTTTGGCGCATGCAGGAATTCGTTGGAGCCTTACTAGACTAATAGACTAATACCAGCGACTCCCATGTCTGCAAAAAGGTGATGATACACGTAGCTGTGTTGACACACGTAGGCAAACTCGTCGCTTTCCTGCTTTCTTGGACGATAAAAACATTCAAGTTCCATCCAGGCTCGGGTTTCCGGTGACTGACATGTTGTGTTGGTGTGTGTGAAGAATAAATGTTTTGTTGCACAACGGGAGTACTAGTAAACGTTGTACGGGTACGTACTACATTTCTGCAACAGTATGTTGCACAGTGTCAGTATGTGCTTCCCCCTACTACTATGTGGTCTTACATACCCTCAGGATCAATGAAAGTATGCTACGTAGAAAGTCTACAGTATACAACCTTCCTCTAAATAATCACCCCAGCCCTCTGAGCAAGATTCTTGAGATTTATTTATCAACAACAAACCCAACACAGGACCATTGTTTCTGTTGGTTGTGGGTTGATCTCTGGATTCTGGATCGAGCTATGCATACTTGTTCTTGAACGCGTTGGGGCACATGTCTTTGCCTTGATTGGGGTTGGGTTGCGGTGATTGCGTGTTGGTTGTTGGTTCGACCTTTTGTCCTCCTGGCATTCGGCTTTGTGGTTTGCAAAAGCAATGGTCCAGGGAGCCAGGCAGGCAGGTTGGAGTCCGACATATGGTACCGGTACACAGGATTGTCCAGGCAGCGCAGCCAGTGTCCAGCGTCCAGCGTGTTCAATTCAAAACGCTGGTCGATGTTGCCAGATTTCTGAGAATGGGGTACTCATTTCGATCAAACATTCAATTAATTACTCCACATCCGTATACTACAAACTGTGATTGCACCGGTTCTCAACCTCTCATCAGTGACCCACGGTTGACTTAAGGGTTGAGGGGGCATTAATATCATCTCCCCAGTACACGTACCGGTACCGTACAACGTTTACTAGTACTCCCGTTGTGCAACAAAACATTTATTCTTCACACACCAACACAACATGTACCAGTCACCGGTAACCCGAGCCTGGATGGAACTTGAATGTTTTTATCGTCCAAGAAAGCAGGAAAGCGACGAGTTTGCCTACGTGTGTCAACACAGCTACGTGTATCATCACCTTTTTGCAGACATGGGAGTCGCTGGTATTAGTCTATTAGTCTAGTAAGGCTCCAACGAATTCCTGCATGCGCCAAAATTTAATGTATTTTATTGGACTGAGCGTCGGGGTCCGAAAGGAACCCACGAAGCCACGAAGAGGATAGCGGACTAGCCTAGCTACTACTGAGTAGCCTCTAGCCACGCGTCCTAGCACTACATGACTACATGTACACGTAGTGATGTTATCCAACTGAGGACCAAATAGATGTGCTTCAGTTGTTCCCACTTCTAATAATTTGGCTAGCAGAGTGATGGTGGCTGTTTGGGGACGCTAGGTTGCATAGGCCTTTGTGATAAGCTATCAAGAATGAGATGGGCAGTATGGCTGGCATACATGTAGAGAAAGCAATTAGGAACAGCACTAATGGGACAAGCAACCCCACAGCCACATGGTGAGGGTAGATACTAGATAATATAGACGAAGCTCGAACCTTTCACCTTTCGCCATCAACTGAGCAGTCTAGACAAAGATTTGATTTCGAAACATTTCAGTGTCTGTGTTCTGATCATCCCGGAGTGAGGTTTCCAAATGAAAGCGGCGAGGCTGCGGGTTGCATAGGCCTTGTGCTGTTGTGGCTGCGGAGGCATACTGCGGTAGCGGTAGTACTACCTGGGCTTGCAAATAAATCAAATTGGCTTGCCAAGAGCGACAACAAAGGAGGGAACAAGGAAGGCTTCGAGCTTCGAACCACAAAAGTAATCTCAGATGAGCGACTAAAAGAGATCGCGCGAATAAAAAGTGTAAGCACCAGAGAGCCATAAACGGTACGGTAGCGTACGGTACCGTACAAACTATCCTACGTACCGTACAGGTTTAAGGTACTACATATTTAAATTTAGTACAGTACGGTATGTACAGTACCATACCGGTACAGTCTGTTTGAATTAATTCTCTAGTCTAACATCAGGGCTGAAATCTCAAAATCCAATCCATGGACTGGAGCAACATGCTACCACCGGTAGAATACCAGCACCCTTTCTGGTACCGGTACGTACATGTACTACTAGTATGCATAAAGAGCAACTCGAGGTAGCTTCGTATGCCTTGAGTGATGCGTTGAGCACTCTAGTCCTTGTTTTCCATTTAAAAGGTGGCGATCGCCGATTTCCTAAGGAGCTCCACCATCACTGTGGGGGTTTATGCCTCAACAAATTTGGTGGGAGGCTTTCCGTGGAGCTTGTTCTTCCGGGGCATGATTGCGATTTTAGTTTCTCGAAATGTTGAATAATATGTGCACAGATATTAAAATGATTGCATGAGATCAAGAGGAGAAGACTCTCCATTCGACGAGTTGATCTCCCACGATGACCACCTACTGCAACTACGACTATACCAACAACCCTGATCCAGTCCCAGATTTCCTGCAATGTCTTCCAGATCTTCAGGCTGTTGCCGACATTGAGGATGTGAGGACCCATGGGAACAAGCTTCTCAGTGTGCCTCCTGGTCCTGAAGGAGGGATTATTCGTCAATTCATTGCTGCTAAAGAGAAAGAAGTTGAACAATGGACCCAAGGAGTTTTGCCTCGAGATGAATTCGTCGATGAGGAGGGTCCTGAGACCGACGACGAACGGAATGATGGACAAAAGACTCAAAGAAAGGTCCTATGTTGCACACTCAAGTCTCTTATCGCGTCCTCGGTTTTCTTGTTCTGTTGCGTCGTCTTCCTCATTGTTGTCGTCATCGTGCGTTCGATGAGAGCAGAGCCAAACAGATTAACGACGTCTTCAGGCTTCAGTCAACGAAACAACGCTACCACCATTGCACCCATTGCCACGCTCGACGAGCCATCATCCAAAGAGACGGAAAGAGCCAACGTCACAGAGGCACAAATGGAGGACAAGTTTCTGTTGATAGAAGGAGAGGCTTGCGATGGACACGACAAATGTAGATCGGGGCTCTGCGGCGGTGATGCCCCGCCATATGCCTGCCAATCTCGGCTGAAGGGTTGTCGACCGTGCTATCAGGACCGCAATTGCCTCTCTGGGTTGTGCCTTATTCGAAGTGGCCAATCCATCTGTGCTTCTACTGTGGATGGCAGGATGGAGCTGGGTTGCTTTTGTGACGAAGATGAGCAATGCTCTAGCCAACGCTGTGAAGGAACCTGCAGAGCACCAGTCAAATGGTGCACACTTGATACTGATTGCCCTTATGGAGTTTGCTATCTAGGCCTGTGTACAGACGATGATTTGACGAGCGGGGGAAACAATCAATTGCACGAACAGCCTCCGGGGGGTCTTTGTAGTGGGGACGCTGACTGCATAAGCAGAATTTGCGTCGAGGTTGCGCAGGGCGAAGATTGGATATGTTCCTCTGGGGAAATGGGGAGCATCTGTGGGGCAGACATTGACTGCAAGAGCGAACGATGTTATCAAGGCATTTGCGCACAAAAACAATCCTCTGGAGGTCCTTGTATGGGGAATGTAGAGTGCGACTCGGGTGTTTGCATGGGCTTTTCTGACAACAACTTGGGGGTTTGTTTGGATGCTGCTGAGGTTCAGCGAGTAGGCAATATCAACAATCGGGGGAGTGTTTAGTAGTCTAGTTTGTTTCTTCCAGAGCTTTCCTCGGGTTGAAGGTTCATTGCGGACGAGTAAAGATTCCGTTGCTTGTCGTCACTTCCTCTCGACCGGGCAACTGCCCTGAAGCTACACGGCGCCAGCCAGAGAGCAAATAATCGTACCGACTAGCTACCAGGTAGATGTTTCTGTTGTACAAAATTGAGTGAGAATAAGAATGCAGACCATACACCGGTGGCAAATCATCGGACCGATGGTGTTAGTACCGTTATGGTAGCAGCGAGAGGGCCAAGCGGATATTTCCAATCATCCTCCCTCCTCTAGGAAAGAAATGAGCAACATGATCAACCAGCTGCATTGAAGAAGCAAGAGTCCTACCGTACCATAATGATGCAGCACAGCTGTACTAGTATCTGTATCTGTTCTGTTCGAAGTCTTCGGGATGAAGATACTGTAGACTTTCTACGTAGCATACTGTCATTGATCCTGAGGGTATGTAAGATCCACATAGTAGTAGGGGGAAGCACATACTGAGGCTGTGCAACTACTGTTGCAGAAATGTAGTACCGGTACCGTACAACGTTTACTAGTACTCCCGTTGTGCAACAAAACATTTATTCTTCACACACACCAACACAACATGTACCAGTCACCGGTAACCCGAGCCTGGATGGAACTTGAATGTTTTTATCGTCCAAGAAAGCAGGAAAGCGACGAGTTTGCCTACGTGTGTCAACACAGCTACGTGTATCATCACCTTTTTGCAGACATGGGAGTCGCTGGTATTAGTCTATTAGTCTAGCTAGTAAGGCTCCAACGAATTCCTGCATGCGCCAAAATTTAATGTATTTTATTGGACTGAGCGTCGGGGTCCGAAAGGAACCCACGAAGCCACGAAGAGGATAGCGGACTAGCCTAGCTACTACTGAGTAGCCTCTAGCCACGCGTCCTAGCACTACATGACTACATGTACACGTAGTGATGTTATCCAACTGAGGACCAAATAGATGTGCTTCAGTTGTTCCCACTTCTAATAATTTGGCTAGCAGAGTGATGGTGGCTGTTTGGGGACGCTAGGTTGCATAGGCCTTTGTGATAAGCTATCAAGAATGAGATGGGCAGTATGGCTGGCATACATGTAGAGAAAGCAATTAGGAACAGCACTAATGGGACAAGCAACCCCACAGCCACATGGTGAGGGTAGATACTAGATAATATAGACGAAGCTCGAACCTTTCACCTTTCGCCATCAACTGAGCAGTCTAGACAAAGATTTGATTTCGAAACATTTCAGTGTCTGTGTTCTGATCATCCCGGAGTGAGGTTTCCAAATGAAAGCGGCGAGGCTGCGGGTTGCATAGGCCTCGTGCTGTTGTGGCTGCGGAGGCATACTGCGGTAGCGGTAGTACTACCTGGGCTTGCAAATAAATCAAATTGGCTTGCCAAGAGCGACAACAAAGGAGGGAACAAGGAAGGCTTCGAGCTTCGAACCACAAAAGTAATCTCAGATGAGCGACTAAAAGAGATCGCGCGAATAAAAAGTGTAAGCACCAGAGAGCCATAAACGGTACGGTAGCGTACGGTACCGTACAAACTATCCTACGTACCGTACAGGTTTAAGGTACTACATATTTAAATTTAGTACAGTACGGTATGTACAGTACCATACCGGTACAGTCTGTTTGAATTGAATTCTCTAGTCTAACATCAGGGCTGAAATCTCAAAATCCAATCCATGGACTGGAGCAACATGCTACCACCGGTAGAATACCAGCACCCTTTCTGGTACCGGTACGTACATGTACTACTAGTATGCATAAAGAGCAACTCGAGGTAGCTTCGTATGCCTTGAGTGATGCGTTGAGCACTCTAGTCCTTGTTTTCCATTTAAAAGGTGGCGATCGCCGATTTCCTAAGGAGCTCCACCATCACTGTGGGGGTTTATGCCTCAACAAATTTGGTGGGAGGCTTTCCGTGGAGCTTGTTCTTCCGGGGCATGATTGCGATTTTAGTTTCTCGAAATGTTGAATAATATGTGCACAGATATTAAAATGATTGCATGAGATCAAGAGGAGAAGACTCTCCATTCGACGAGTTGATCTCCCACGATGACCACCTACTGCAACTACGACTATACCAACAACCCTGATCCAGTCCCAGATTTCCTGCAATGTCTTCCAGATCTTCAGGCTGTTGCCGACATTGAGGATGTGAGGACCCATGGGAACAAGCTTCTCAGTGTGCCTCCTGGTCCTGAAGGAGGGATTATTCGTCAATTCATTGCTGCTAAAGAGAAAGAAGTTGAACAATGGACCCAAGGAGTTTTGCCTCGAGATGAATTCGTCGATGAGGAGGGTCCTGAGACCGACGACGAACGGAATGATGGACAAAAGACTCAAAGAAAGGTCCTATGTTGCACACTCAAGTCTCTTATCGCGTCCTCGGTTTTCTTGTTCTGTTGCGTCGTCTTCCTCATTGTTGTCGTCATCGTGCGTTCGATGAGAGCAGAGCCAAACAGATTAACGACGTCTTCAGGCTTCAGTCAACGAAACAACGCTACCACCATTGCACCCATTGCCACGCTCGACGAGCCATCATCCAAAGAGACGGAAAGAGCCAACGTCACAGAGGCACAAATGGAGGACAAGTTTCTGTTGATAGAAGGAGAGGCTTGCGATGGACACGACAAATGTAGATCGGGGCTCTGCGGCGGTGATGCCCCGCCATATGCCTGCCAATCTCGGCTGAAGGGTTGTCGACCGTGCTATCAGGACCGCAATTGCCTCTCTGGGTTGTGCCTTATTCGAAGTGGCCAATCCATCTGTGCTTCTACTGTGGATGGCAGGATGGAGCTGGGTTGCTTTTGTGACGAAGATGAGCAATGCTCTAGCCAACGCTGTGAAGGAACCTGCAGAGCACCAGTCAAATGGTGCACACTTGATACTGATTGCCCTTATGGAGTTTGCTATCTAGGCCTGTGTACAGACGATGATTTGACGAGCGGGGGAAACAATCAATTGCACGAACAGCCTCCGGGGGGTCTTTGTAGTGGGGACGCTGACTGCATAAGCAGAATTTGCGTCGAGGTTGCGCAGGGCGAAGATTGGATATGTTCCTCTGGGGAAATGGGGAGCATCTGTGGGGCAGACATTGACTGCAAGAGCGAACGATGTTATCAAGGCATTTGCGCACAAAAACAATCCTCTGGAGGTCCTTGTATGGGGAATGTAGAGTGCGACTCGGGTGTTTGCATGGGCTTTTCTGACAACAACTTGGGGGTTTGTTTGGATGCTGCTGAGGTTCAGCGAGTAGGCAATATCAACAATCGGGGGAGTGTTTAGTAGTCTAGTTGTTTCTTCCAGAGCTTTCCTCGGGTTGAAGGTTCATTGCGGACGAGTAAAGATTCCGTTGCTTGTCGTCACTTCCTCTCGACCGGGCAACTGCCCTGAAGCTACACGGCGCCAGCCAGAGAGCAAATAATCGTACCGACTAGCTACCAGGTAGATGTTTCTGTTGTACAAAATTGAGTGAGAATAAGAATGCAGACCATACACCGGTGGCAAATCATCGGACCGATGGTGTTAGTACCGTTATGGTAGCAGCGAGAGGGCCAAGCGGATATTTCCAATCATCCTCCCTCCTCTAGGAAAGAAATGAGCAACATGATCAACCAGCTGCATTGAAGAAGCAAGAGTCCTACCGTACCATAATGATGCAGCACAGCTGTACTAGTATCTGTATCTGTTCTGTTCGAAGTCTTCGGGATGAAGAATTGGCATCAGTGCCCGTTCAGCAAATTTTGTATCTGTTCTGCTCGGAGTTTCAGTGCTGTGGAGGTGGCAACAGTGCTTGAGATACACAAGTTATTGGTGAAAGTTCAGGAGCCTCCAAACAATAGTATTGTGTGCTGGGCAACGGCCCAAAATAAAAGTGTCACTTTATGTTTGCACATTAACTAGCCGAAAAGAGAGATTTCAAAGAGAGATCTCGAATTGACAAACACTGCTTGACTGTCGATCCATTCATTCCCCTTGCGTAACAGTTGCTAGAACAAAGTGCGGTTTGGCCATGATGAAATAAAACAAGTAGCTCAAGGTCTCTTGAGGTGCGTCCAACAAGCAGTTCTTCTCATCTTGGACATTTACGAGTGCGTGTACCCACTCACGTCGAGTCAAGCCTTCATTTTGCAACACACCACGTCGATTGACTCGATTCAAGTTGAGATAGAAGTTCATTTCGGCATCCCATTCAGAATCCAAAAGCAGGTCCTCAAGAGTGAAGTTGCTTTGCTCAACAATCCTGAGAAACATGTCCCGACTGCGGACCTGGAAATTGCCAAACAATCCTATTTCTTTCAGGCTGGTATTAAACGTCAAGCTGTTGGCGAGAGCACTGCAGCCTGGGTCACTGATTCGGTTGTACGATAGGTCCAACCTCTCGATGGTCTTGTTGACCGCAAGCATCTTGGACAACGCAACGCATCCCTTGTTGGTGATGTTGCTATCTAGCATAATGAGGCTTCTGAGAGAGTGGTTTGTTTCAAGAGCCGAGGCCATCTTAAGCACCAGATCTTCGTCCAACACCCATCCACCAAGCTCCAATGACTTCAGGGAGGACGATTGACAGAATCTCAAGGCAGAAGACGGACTGTTGGGCCATTCTCCGCCGAGATCTTGGTGCAGATCCATAGCAGTCAACTCAATCTTTTCTAGCAAGGGAACGGCTGACAAGGAACGAAGGAGGTTGTCAAGCGGTATCCTTCCGTCCACTATACAGGCTCCTCGGAGGCAAAACTCTTTCATAAAGGATTGGCTTTGAATCGACTTTGCGAAGTTGGTGAAATCTTCTACCGTGCCCACCAATCCTATGGAAGATAGTCTTAAGGAGGAAAGTGCCTTGGTTTGGTCCATAAAACATGACATGGCGTGCATAGGGATTGACCATCCCTCAGCCTGTCTGGACAGCGCCGACAACTGTTCCAGCCTGGGGAGTGAGCCAATTGCTGTGAAGAGCTTGCAGATTTCCTCCCTCGACAAGTTCCTGACAAAGAAATGGTCTAGAAACACGGATTGGACAGTCTGGTTGCTTTGGATAGCTTCAGCCAATATGTCAATGTTCTTGCTCGTTGCCCGAGTCTCATCATTTGGATCTTCTGGCTGTTCTTGGTTTTCTTGCAGACCAATCTCATCTGCCGTTAGAATAAGCTGCTTAAAGTCTTCATTGTTGGCTCTTAGACGTTTGATGATACTAGGAATGGACATGGCCATGTCAGCATTTGGCCATAGAGAAATGGAAGAAAGACATTCTTCTCTTGCGAAATACGAAGAAGCAAAGGCTTGTTACAATGGTGCAGAACCTCGACAATGGTGGTTCACGGAGCCCTTTTTGTTCGCATGCTGCACAAATACCGTGCAGCCTTGCCGTTGTCTGGCTGATTTTGGGTGCTGCATTGGTGGCATGTGCGTTGACAACCAGGGGGCATCCCACCAGCACAGTGCGAAAGATGTGGAACACTGTCACCGACAAATACTTCTTCGGTTCAGTTCAAATTTTCGCTTCCCTCAAAAACGGCTAAATAATTTGTCCATCCCTTCAATCTCAAAGCAGCTCTCAAAGCTCACTTTTATGCTTTAGCTAGCTAGCCATGCCAGTATCTCCGCTGCCGGTGCGCCACGGAAGCGGTATCGGTGCCACCGGTACTAGCATGTGGTCCCGACCCTCGGGATAGACCCTCTGTTGCTTCCAATAGTAGGTAGAGAGATATGTGGGGATCCGGTCGCCTCTGGCTGATGAGGCCAAAAGCTTAGTCACACTTTGCACATTTGGCTGTTGGTGACAAGGTTCAGCCACAAGCTAGCTAGCAAGGCCCGTGGGAACAGTACATGTACCGGTACCCAATCTTGTCACATGTAGCTACTCTGGCTACGGTAGTACTGTAGATAGATGACACCCTTACCTGGTACTACTTGCTGGAATCTTCCCAGCACGGGTCCCAGCCACCCCCGTGAGAGAGTAAACAGCCAAGCAAGTAACCCCGGCCCCGGATTTTCAACTTCTTTACTTGCGTTTTTGTTGGTTTCTGCCCTTCTCTAGCTAGGGCTCTCACTTGCAAGGCCTAGCTAGCTATCGGTACTACTAGCTAGCTCGATAAATAAAGGATGAAGGAGAGCCGGAGAGTGGTGCTTCAGCATATCGATTTTCGAGAGTACACGGTAGTTCGCATATCAGAACCTCAAACCATTGGTACAGAAAGTACAGCAGGACCGTCGTGCCGACATCGGCCCAATCCGTACACTACCTCAGTAGAATCGCTGTAGAGCCACTAGCCAATCAAACGTTCCATAGTCGACTGACGTCACAGCCGACTGACGTCAGTCGTGCATTATTTATTTATTTACTTATCTCTGTGTCAGCTCGATCAGTCTCTCCTTGTGTTGTTTTCGTGTTGTTTTCAAAAGACCGAGGGAGCATGCATCCAGAGGATTTCGAATTTCGAATTTGAGCGAGATAGTGAAGCAAGACAATAAAACCGAGGTCTTCCCTTCCGTATTCAGTAGCCGCAGAGGTACTTCGCAGAGGTCGCAGAGGTGTACTTACTTACCGCATTCAGTAGCCGCAGATTCAGTAGCCGCAGAGGTACTCACCGCAGCCGAGGACATAGCCGCTTTCATTGCAATCCTCCGAAGACGATGAGTGCCCCCACCAGCCATCGAAGTTGAGCCCATTGCTTCAGTGGTCAATCCAGCCACGCCTCCTGGGATCAGGCTGCCAGGAGACAGCAGGACAACACCACGATCTGCCAGCCCCACCATGCACGGCCCTCAGAACAATTGGAGCAGGAACCAGAGCCCCATGTCCCTCTATCAGGTCAGTGTTGTCAACCGGTGGTTGGATCCTTCAAAAAAAGTGAGTGCCAAGCAGAAAGAAGTCTTTGATAACTCAGTCGAGCACGCAATCGAGCACTATGGTAGCGCCGCCAACACGGACAATGTTGCCGTGCTCGCTGCGGAATCATTCGATCAAATGCACTTCAACATGATGCGACAGGGCAACGCTGGTCTCAGGGGTAGGCTGAGGCCCCAGCATGCCAAAGCTTTGCTCAGAGAGGGGGGTCAGCTGGTTCAGATGGCCGCCATCAATCAACATGCGCTGGCAAGAGAAAGGCTGCTCCAAAGCAAGGCGGTCTGACCAAAGCAAGCTGTTGGACTCCTCCACAAGCTTCGCAGACATGAAGAATTGGGCAGGGTCCTGGGAAAGTCCATCAAAAGACAAAGCCGAAGATGCGGGAGGTTCTGCTGCAGTGCTTTGAGGGCAAGCCAGAAGGCCATGTGTTCCACTCCCACTAGCTAGTGCACTACGCTAAAAGCTAGTGTAAAGATCTTTCGAGTGTTTTGAGTTTGAGAGAATGAAAGTTATGAGAGAGATTAGAAAGCTATGAAAACTAATCAACGAGAGAGATCATCATCAAAGGATCGTAGATCTGGCTTCCCGCGGGAGACTATAAGTGTGATAGAGTAGGTTGTGGTAGTAATCCTACGTCTCTCCACGATCCTAAAACGGAACGCGTGGAAGGTTTGTCTAGCCTGGATCTAGTAGCGTGGAAGTACTCCACGCTGGCTAAATCTAGAGCGATGTTTCATCATCAACCTAGTTGACAGCGCGGTCATTGAGACCCTGTCTCGAATGACTAGAGTAAAAGTCATTTTAAGACCGGGTGAAGATTAAGACCATGTAATTAATAGAGGTTCTTACGTAGGATCCTACGTAGCTTCGGTACCAGAGCAATAGAGGTGCTTCCTAAGTGTTCCGTAGGATCTTACAGACTCTCCTATGTAGGATCCTACACAGTTAAGTATGTAAAGTCTTAAACTGGAGAAAAAGAATTCGTCACAAAAGTTAGGATATTTTCAATCAACCTAACTCCACCAATAAGTACACTCTGATCTTGGGAATTTAATGGGATACTCAACAACATGTGCCCTTTCGATTCAGCTACTTAGAAGTACAATATTCGAGATCACCTCTTAAGAGAATAATCCGGGGAAAGGTCGGTCGTAAATCGCATTTTACTCTATTCACGAGAGACTCAGTCATGAGTCGAACTCAAACCTATCTAGGATCGAGTCCGAATAGGCTAAGAGCCGTGTATTGCATTCGCCCCCTGACAAGGGTCACAGAAGGCGCGCGACAGCAGTCGGACAAGGAGAACATATGATTTAAAGTGCGGGGCACTCTCATGAGATTGGATGTAGACATGTGCGTCGCACGATGGCAATCCTACAAGGGGATCAGGCCTTGTAGGGTGTAATACCTTATGTTCGTAGTCGGTAACTGTGCCGCCGTTGGTCGGTAGCATGTTGGAGCCTACAGTGCCATTGTCATTGACTCGTCTATAGTGTAAGGACCTTTGTACTTGGCTGACCGTACTTGCGGTGCTGATACTGTTGAATCATCACAGTATCGTTCATTGTATTGTGAGGGACACGCGTTGCGTTTTCCTATCGTTGTTTTGTTGGAATTAGTCGTTGGCGACGTTCCTTAATGTACTCTCAGTTGGCTTCGAACCGGAGTTGTGAATCGCGTCACGATTGAACACGAGCTGTGCGGGCGTTGCACGCAAGGGGTATGAAACGTGGCATTCATTGCAAAGCGAACCGCCGTGAGGACTCCATCCCAGGATCATTCACGAGGTCGTCTTGGCACTTGATGTTTGAACAGCGATCAAGTTACGAAGAACCGTCGTTGTTGGGAGATAGTTAAGTCACAGTCTGTCGACATCTGTCACCGTAGATTAGGCCTATCGTACTCAGAGCGCCGATCCACGATATACAGCCGATCGTATTTAAGTTCTTACATTAAGATTCTTGTGGTCCGTATGTCAACGATCTTCTGTCCTAGAAGAATGTTACGGAACTCTTTCAGAGTTTCTACGATACTGAGAAGTTCCTTCTCGTAACTTGTAACGTGTCTGAGCAGGGTTGAGCTTCTCCTGTAGAACGGATAGGTTTCCTTCTGGGAAATTACCGCACCTAGTTGAGTATCACTCGCATCCGTGTGGAATAACGAATGTATCGTTTAATCAGGGTAGGCGAGCAAGGTTTCTTTGCTGATGATTTCTTATCTGGCTAAAGGCCTTGTCGTGTTCGGCTTCCCATTTCCACTTCGTTGTTTTGGAAGTCAACGAAGCGAGTGGGCCAGTACATGTGATCGTCTAATCCACATGTCTCGATAGTAGTTCACTAGTCCAATGAATCTACGGAGTTCCTTCCTGTTGGTAGGAGGAGCGATATTCTTGATCGCGTCTATTTCTTGGTTATAGGTTGGATCCCTTCTCGAGTGATCCAGTAAACCTAGGTACTTCAAGTTCTCCTCTTGCGAAGAAGGACTTGGTAGCATTGTCTTGAGTCCGGCTTCTCGAAGCCTTCGGAGAACTTCATCCAACTTTTCAACGTGATCTGCTAGATCGCCGTTAGTTAGGATGAGTAGATCATCAATGTATGCACGGACGTATTCTAGGTCGTGCATTAGTGTTCCATCTTCTCTTGGAAGATGTCGGGACTATTACATAGGCCCATGGGCAACCTCTTGTACTCGTACTTCCCCACGGGAGTACGATGGTACAGAGTTGCTTCGAGTGAGGTGACAGCTCGATGTGATAGTATCCCATGTTCAGGTCTAGACTAGTAGCGTACTTGAATCCGTCTAGATTCAAGAGATGTCCTTATTTTTGGGATAGGATAAGGCTTCCGCTTAATCCTTTTGTTCAGTCCCGAAATCAGAGATGAATCGTACAGATCCGTCTTTCTTGGGAATGATGAAAGGTTGGTGCCGCCACTCGGAACGGTTTACCTTCTTGAGTACTCCTGCCTCGCAGAGACGTTCAACTCCATCTTAAGAGTGTTGGTATGGACCCTGGGATAGGTAAGCCCTTGCATGATAGGGTTTAGCTCAGGAGAAGTTCTACTTCGTAGTCGTCCATCTGCCACTTTCCCAAAGTACCAACGAATAAGTCAGAGTACTTCGTCAGTAAGGAGTGAAGTGTTCCTTCTCTTCCGTGTTTAACTGATCTTGACTTTGGCAAACCTGCCTTAAGTCAGCTTGTTCGTATTTCGCTCAAGAAATCTTCTTGGAACGATTGCACTGTCATCGACAGCGGCAGGATCAGGAATGAAAAGTTTTCTTCTTCATTGGTGTGCTATCTTTCATAGGAATAGATGCGCCGTCCCATATCCACTGACATGTAGTGAAATTGAACTTGAAACCTAAGTCAGGGAGAATATCTCGACCTATGATCATGTCATACGCCCCCAAGCTCTTGGTGACGTGTAAGTCCACTCGATAATTCTTTCTTCGTGGAATTCAGGAATCATGAATGCACCTTTGCACTTCGTGCTGGTGTTTAATTCTCCTGCAGGGGTAGTCCACATCGATTTGGACGCCCCCAAGATCCTTCATGCGTAATTTCTTAGCATGAGGTTGAGCAATCAAGGTTCCGGATGCTCCTGTATCCAGCAAGCAACGGAGTGTACGGGTTTTGGTTTCCCTTTTTCTCGCTTGTTAAATCTACAATAAACGATGGGTTTGAGGTCTCTTGTCTTGCGACGTTTACGAGGTGGTTGGCCACGGACAGGTTAACGATGCTAAATAGATCATCAGAGTCTAGTTGAGCAGGTTCTAGGCAATCATCTAATTTGCCATAGAGTTCATCAGTTGCAAACAATTCTTGTTTACTATTTAGTGAGATATTTTCATCACTTTGGTATGAGAAATCGGAACAGGGTTCCGTTGATCATCATCCTGGCCTAATCCTCAGATAGAGGTTTCTCCATCCAAGTGTTGAAATGATAGAGGAGTTGTCCTCTTGTCAGATGTTTCTGATTTGCGCTTGGCAAACTGGTTGCGAAGTTTGCAAGGTGTGGCACGAGTATCGTCGATCTCGTGTTCTTCGTCATTGTCGACGAGAGGAAGAATGGGTTTTGTCACGCAACTGTTTCTCGAAGTTGGGAACGCATCTTTCCTTGAGCCATCTTCATGGTTGAGGAATAGTTGAGGGTAGCTGAGAGCTATTGTGTTTGTTTAACAAAATGCACTACGCTAAAGACTAGTGTAAAGATCTTTCGAGTGTTTTGAGTTTGAGAGAATGAAAGTTTATGAGAGAGATTAGAAAGCTATGAAAACTAATCAACGAAGAGATCATCATCAAAGGATCGTAGATCTGGCTTCCGCGGGAGACTATTAAAGTGTGATAGAGTAGGTTGTGGTAGTAATCCTACGTCTCTCCACGATCCTAAAACGGAACGCGTGGAAGGTTTGTCTAGCCTGGATCTTAGTAGCGTGGAAGTACTCCACGCTGGCTAAATATCTAGAGCGATGTTTCATCATCAACCTAGTATGACTAGCGGGTCATGAGAACCCTGTCTCGAATGACTATTCACGAGAGAGATCAGTATGAGTCGAACTCAAACCCTATCTAGGATCGAGTCGCGAATAAGGCTAAGAGCCGTGTATTGCACTAGCTACCTTGATGGTTGAGCCCCAATGGGCCCAATCTTTGTGGTTCTAAGCCCCCTGCGGGGCTCAACCTTTATAGTACTAGCTTAAAAAAATTTCAGTACATGGTAGTTTGCATATCAAAACCTCAAACCATTGGTACAGAAAGTACAGCAGACCGTCGTGCCGACATCGGCCCAATCCGTACACTACCTCAGTAGAATCGCTGTAGAGCCACTAGCCAATCAAACGTTCCATAGTCGACTGACGTCACAGCCGACTGACGTCAGTCGTGCATTTTATTTATTTATTATTTATTTTTTTATTTATTTATTATTTATTTATTTATTTATTTATTATTTATTTATTTATTATTTATTTATTTATATATTTATTTATTTATTTTTATTATTATTTATTATTTATTATTTATTTATTTATTATTTATTTATTTTTATTTTATTTTTTATTTAATTTATTTATATTTATTATTATTATTATTATTATTTATTTTCTTATTACTTATTTACTTACTTACATATTTATTTTTATTATTTATTTATTTACTTATCTCTGTGTCAGCTCGATCAGTCTCTCCTTGTGTTGTTTTCGTGTTGTTTTCAAAAGACCGACGGAGCATGCATCCAGAGGATTTCGAATTTCGAATTTGAGCGAGATAGTGAAGCAGACAATAAAACCGAGGTCTTCCCTTCCGTATTCAGTAGCCGCAGAGGTACTTCGCAGAGGTACTCCGCATCAGTACCGCAGGGTACATTACTTACCGCATTCAGTAGCCGCAGAGGTACTCACCGCAGCCGAGGACATAGCCGCTTTCATGCAATCCTCCGAAGACGATGAGTGCCCCCACCAGCCATCGAAGTTGAGCCATTGCTTCAGTGGTCAATCCAGCCACGCCTCCTGGGATCAGCTGCCAGGAGACAGCAGGAACAACACCACATCTGCCAGCCCACCACATGCACGGCCCTCAGAACAATGGAGCAGGAACCAGAGCCCCATTCCCTCTTCAGGTCAGTGTTGTCAACCGGTGGTTGGATCCTTCAAAAAAAGTGAGTGCCAAGCAGAAAGAAGTCTTTGATAACTCAGTCGAGCACGCAATCGAGCACTATGGTAGCGCCGCCAACACGGACAATGTTGCCGTGCTCGCTGCGGAATCATTCGATCAAATGCACTTCAACATGATGCGACAGGGCAACGCTGGTCTCAGGGGTAGGCTGAGGCCCCAGCATGCCAAAGCTTTGCTCAGAGAGGGGGGTCAGCTGGTTCAAATGGCCGCCATCAATCAACATGCGGCTGGCAAGAGAAAGGCTGCTCCAAAGCAAGGCGGTCTGACCAAAGCCAAGCTGTTGGACTCCTCCACAAGCTTCGCAGACATGAAGAATTGGGCCAGGGTCCTGGGAAAGTCCATCCAAAGACAAAGCCGAAGATGCGGGAGGTTCTGCTGCAGTGCTTTGAGGGCAAGCCAGAAGGCCATGTGTTCCACTCCCACTAGCTAGCTACCCTGGTGGTTGGGCCCCAAGGGGCCCAATCTTTGTGGTTCTAAGCCCCCTGCGGGGGCTCAACCTTTATAGTACTAGCTTAAAAAATTTTCTTTCGAGGGTACTGGTGGTGCTGGTACTACATTGTAGGCACAGTTTTGAAACGCGTTGGAACTTGACTAGCTAGCTAGTCTAGCTTTTGCGAGCACCTTGAAAATACAAATATCTTTTTTCTGCTGTTTTGTCTTCTGCCTTCCCTCCGTGCACATGTTCTTGCTCCGAACCTCTTGTTTTTCCTACATTATTGGTTTGTAGCCATGACGACTGTTCGGACAGTGCTCCTGGACCTCTCCGGGACTATCCATATTGGGGACAAGCTCATTCCTGGTGCCTTGGCAGCTTGCCAGAAATTAGTGCAGAACAACGTATCGATCAAATTCCTCACCAATACAACCAAGGTATCATTGTTCGAGAGAGATCGAAAAGATGGATGATGTTTGGATATTGCTTACGATACGTCAACGGTTATCCTTGCTTCTCTCCTTCAGAGTTCTCGCCGTGAGCTACTTGATCAGCTCTATGCTTTGGGGTTCGAAAAGGATCTGTTGAAGGCCGACTCTCTCATCACAAATACTCAAGCTGCCAAGCAAGTTGTACAAAAGTACAAGCTCAAGCCCTACTGTTTAGTTCAAGAGAGTTTGCTGGGAGACTTAGGACTAGCAGTGGGCGGTAAAGACGATGATGAGATCGAATACAATTCTGTCTTGGTTGGGTTGGCGCCCGAAGCATGCTACTATCAAAAGCTCAACGATGCCTTCCGAATACTCATGAAAGAAAAGGAAAGAAGGAAAAAGGAAGCTATAGCGACGGCTCAACGACCGCCACTTCTTATTGCGCTCCACAGGGGAAAGTACCTGCGCGACGCGGACGGTGGACTCTCTTTGGGACCAGGAGGTTTCGTCGCCTGTTTGCAAGAGGCGGCTGGGTTGGACGAGTCCGATATTGCTGTGATGGGAAAGCCCACCGGAGCATTCTTCCATGCGGCCATCCCCGAGGGAATAAGTCCCCCCGAGACCGTCATGGTGGGGGACGACGTGAAACAAGATGTAATTGGCGCCAAAGAGGCTGGAATTGGCCTCGGGATTCTGGTAAAGACAGGAAAGTATCAAGAAGGTGATGAAGTTGCTGATGCGGGAGAAGCCGGACCTGACATAGTTGTGAGCTCTATTGTTGAGGCTGTCGAGTACATTCTAGCTAGACAAGAATGACAGCTAAGTTTTTGGCCCAGCGGTGCAGTTTCCCTAGGGTAGATTGATTGTTCTCAGCACCTGTTTCCATGGGTACAACAATCACATTGTACACGAGGATTGTCGTTCGCGCACGTATCCGCAGTCAGCCTCTGTAGTTCCAAGTTGCAAAAAGATTGAGGAATCGATCCGGTAAACTGATTTCCATCGAATTCAGCCTGTTGCAATGAAAACAATGAATGAGAAATGTTGCAATGCTTTGTATTTGGCTGAAGCTCCCAATACGTTTCGCATTGGATGCCCTCACCTTGTCCAGATTGTTCAAAGCTTCCAGCTCGGGGATTTGGCCCGAGAATCTATTTTCGTTCAATGCCAATTGTTGCAGTCGAGTCAGCTGGTTGATGCATGTGGGAAGCTGCCCTTGCAGCCTGTTCTCTGACACTTCCAGCTCATCTAACGTAATCAAATTACAGATCCCATTGGGAAGTGTACCCTCGAGCTTGTTTTCCTTAAGCCACATTTTGCGCATCTTCGTCCATTTGCGGATGGAACTGGGGATACCACCTCTAATCCGATTGCCGCGGATATCAATATGCCTCAGCGGTATCTTCCCGATTTCGGGTGGCAAAGTCCCTGGAAGAACACGTGTTAGATTGGTGGCATGGAGCGCCGTCGTGACCATCACACAATTCTTGCACTCACCTGACAACTGGTAGTGCTCTGGGAAGAACGCGTTCGGAGGAACGGTAGAGCGAAGGATCGCCGTTAGGAAAACTTATCTCTCATTGTGCAACAATCACAAAGCACCAAGAGCGAGGAACGACTTACCAAGATTAAGCTCCGCAACTTCGTTTTTTGCTGGCCCCGCACACTGAATTCCAGCCCAAAAGCACTCATCCAATTGAGAGAGCCAGCGAACAGAAGCCTCGTCATCATATGATCCTTGTAGGAGGCGACCGCCAGGGCGTGGCAGCCCGCCACGAGGACCCCCGCCGCCAGGCCCATCCGGGCTGTCGCCACTATCTGGGCCGTTTGAGTTCCCGCCGCCACCACCACCACCACCGTTGCCTCCGCCTTGAAGTCTGTATTTCTTGTGTATACAAGTGCTATCAGTATTGACAAGTTGCGGTGGGTTGCAAGCCAGCCATGGTCCATCCTGACTTGTACTGTAGTACAAGAGGGCCAGCAGGTAGCGTTGTTCAATTCTCTGTGCTCCAGGCTTTCGTTGGTCGGTGTACACGATCCAATGCAACGCTTTATAATAAGGGCTGGTTTCATTGTACAGACGGTTCCAATTCTCTTCGTCGACTATCCCCGAGCTCTCGAAGTATTTCCGTGTCAGGTCAAAGTCAGGGCTTATGCCCGTTGGTGCCAGAGTTGGAGTGAATAGTACCGCCGATCCTGTTGCACCACCAGCGTTGTTTGATCCCCCCCCCAGTGATGTTGCAACTGCAACAGCTATCACTATAACGATAATCAGAAGGAGGCAGCAAATCGCACCCACAATCACTGAGAAGTGCTTGTGCTCGTAAATTGGTTTCGAAGATGAATCTTCTTTCGTTTTATCCACTTGAATGGCGGCAGCGATGAATGGCTCCGAATCCTCTTCCACTAAGATTGCTTGCACCAGATGTTCTTCTCCCCTTTCGGGTTGATTCTGATCCCGGGAGGAAGTATCGACTGTGTCATAATTTGATCTGGAGGCACCAGGAGGACCAACATTCGCATGGCGCAAACCTGCTTCCAGATCCACATCGGCAGCTGCTGCCTTGCCGTCCCTTCCGCATCTTGACGAGAGCTTTGCAGATGACTTGCCGCCGCCAGCCCCCAGTTTTGTGGCGCGCCTCGAATTCTGTCTGGTTTTTGATTTGGCATCTGTTGCCCTAATCCGGCTGTCTTCTTCCAGTTTTGCAGTTTCCAGTGTCCTCAGTGAGAGACGGGTGGAACTTTGTTTCCGGTTGACGCCGCTGCTGCTGCTACTAGTAGTAGAAGTGGTAGCCGCTGTCGGCGCATCTTTGCTGAATCGCTTCGACTTGGCCCTGGACCCATCTCCCATGGATCTGCTGGATTTGGCACCCAGTTGCTTGGACTTGGCTCGATCTGCCAGCCCTGGTCGCGCCCCGGGAAGCTCCTCCAAGGGATCGGCCGCAGCTCTCTCTCGTTGCACCAAATTGGCACTGTTGTCGAGGTCACGATGTGACGCCTTGATTGTAGATGATATGCCCGCAGCCGCTACAACTGTCATTTTGGAGGGTCTCGGAGGCCTTCCCTGCTCGGCGTGTGCTCCTGGTATGGCAGAGGAAGTAGCTCTCCGCTTTCCCTTTTTCCCGGTAGAATCAGCTTCCGAAGACTCAGCATAGGCCCCTGGTTTGGAGGAAGATGCAACCGCTGGAGGCTCCGTGGGCGTCTCAGTTTCGGGTGATGTTGCCACCTCTGATTGTTCGTCCATTGCAGCAACTTTCTTCTTCTTTTTCTTCTTGGATGATGAGGAGGCATCCATTGCCTCATCATTTGCCTCAACATCACTATGTTTCTTCTTCGTTTTCTTGTTTTTGCTAATTGTCGATTCATCTTCGTCATCGGCAGGGGCCTCAGTTTTCTTTTTCTTGGTTGATGCAATGTCATCATCATCATCAGCTGGATCAGGGAGCTGCTGCTGTTCCTCCAGCTCTTGCTCCTCTAAAAGTTGTTCTTTCTTCTTCTTTTTCTTCTTCTTGCGAGTGGCCTCTTCCACCATCAAAGCTGCTTCACCTCCCATGTCTATATTCTCGTCTAAGCGTTGATGTTTCTGCTTTTTCTTCTTTTTGCTGGCAACTTCCTCCTCATCTACCAAAGCTGTTTCACCCTCGACCTCCTCGTCCATGCCATCAGATTGTTGTTGTTTCTTCTTTTTCTTCTTCTTTCTAATGGTAGATTCATCATCCTCTGGCACGTCAGCTTCCATTTCGTCATCTACCAGTTTCGTCTTTTTCTTTTTCTTCTTCTTGGAGATGGCTTCTTCATCCGCTGCATCGCCATCGTCTTCAGCCTCAATTTCTGCCTCCGACTCATCTAGCCGTTTCTTCTTCTTCTTCTTCTTCTTGCTGGTAAGCTCCTCCTCTACCAGATCTGGTTCACCGTGATCGTGATGGCTCTCCTCCGGATCGTCGTGCTCCGCAGTGTCTTGACGCTTTTTCTTCTTCTTCTTCTTCTTTGCCCCCTTGGCTGAAGTATCCAACTCGGTTTCCTCATCTTCGATTGCCGTGGGTAGCTCTTCGTCCTTGCTCATCCTACCGTATTCTGTGGTGGACCAAGTTCACTTTGCTGTGGTGCTGGATACCGGTAGCTTGCATTGGGCAATTGAAATGTCCCCAGCGGCTCACTGTTTGCCAAGATTGCAAGTTCCTGCCTGTTTGCTGTGTGTGTGCAGACAAGCAAGCTGTGAGCTGTGCAATGTCATGTTGATGTGGCTCCCGAGAGGCGAGAAACAATGAGGTGAACAAGCTTTTTTCGAATGACCGTGAGTGACAGTCACTCTGCGGACTTAACGAAGTAGTACCTTTTAAATCTAAAAAAGTCTTTTGTTTCATGCTTTCTTTTAAATTTTTGATTTTGACACTCACAACATCCATGAAGCCCATCAAACCCTCCAGCAATACAACATCATGTAGCCTACTACTCTAGACTAGCTAGACTAGCTCGAATGATTCGATTCGATTCCGGGTGCCGGTGGTACCCAACGGTGCCTCGCTTGATTGGGGTGGCCAAGGCCCTGGAGTTGATCTTGATGGGCCAGTCCGTACCGTATCGGGTACCAAAGCCAAATCCTTGGATTGGTGCATGATGCCTCGGCCACGTCCTACTGTACGATGAATGCTGCAAGTCTCGATACGGTACGTGTGGGAAAGAGAAATGTCCAGAGACGCCACCTGTGGAGAACATGCCCATCAAGCAGTCGGTGTATTCCAAGTTAAGTTGGATCGCATCACGTCACCGCAATGCATCCTACCGACTGAGCAGTACATCATTCACTCAACATTGATCAAATGGCTTGTGTTCTGGCGCCAGCTCGTCGACAATTCGTTGTGAGATGGCACTTCTTTAGTCGAGCGCATGCCATGCAACAGGTGGAAATTGTGAGAGGCCAATAGACGGCAACAGCAGCCGTCGAACTGTTGCAAGCTCTCACAAAGGCAAATTGGCACTTTTGGTGTCGTTGTGGGCAACTCAACTGTGACGGCTTTGTGGCAACTCGAATGTTACGACACTACTGTGCTGAATCTGTGGCGCTTTTGAGCGAGGGACGAGGGACGAGCCACTCCGTCCACGGTTTCCGTGTGCACCTTTGGCATAGTAATGGGGTCATTGGACGCGTCCGATTTTAATTGGCAGCCCTCTCTTCATCAAAACACTGTTGAGCTGTCAATTTTTGGGTGAGGACGCAAAGCAGTCCGTCCTTTGCAAATTGTTCCATTATGCTGTGCAAATGTGGCTTCGACCCATCGCCGAATCGCGTTGGTAGCCACCAGAATCTTGTTTGTGGCCGCAAAACCGTGGAACGGGAATAGGTTGTGTTCAAAGACGCCCATTGCTTCTTCCACCCACCGAATGGCCCTAGTGAGCGTAGCATTGGCGGCTAGAAACGTTTTTGCATGGCACACATCGTAGCGTGTGATACCGCCTTTGTAGGTCTTTGAATTTGCAACCATGGCAAACGTTTCCATGTGAAGAGCAGAGGAGAATCTTTGGATACACCTGTCAACCTCTTTCATAGATAGCCCTTCCATGTTCGGAAATTGTTTGGCATATTGTTGACTAGTTTCAGACACAAATTTTACCAGCTGTTGTTTCACATGCTGGTTCTCCTCAATGATTTCCATACCCTTGTTGCGATACTGCCATGGCGAAGGATCGTGACTGTGGTCCTCGTAAAACAGGGTATCCACATGGAATTCCAAAGGGTGGTCATGCTTTGGGTTGAGATATCCTCCTTCATGATGACCCACAAAGTCTTCTACCAAATGCATCATGTAGCCATAGCTGAATGCCTTGATACTATCCGTGCGTATAAACTCTAGGCCAGTAGACCAGCTTTTGCTGTGGTGATAATCCGCCGGACTAGTACTGGTAGCATTGGTATCCAACGCGGCAGCTCGTTCCAGTTGAAATGCCGCAAATTCAAAGGAATGCATCCAACTGCGATCCAATTTGAAGGCATCTGGAAAGAAATTGGAGGTCACAAAAACACCTTCCAACACACTCGATGCTGCTGCAGTAGGTTGTTCATGGTGAGATTGAGATCTTCTTGTTGAGTCACCACGCAAGCTGCCGTTGCAAGCATGATTCGCAGCATATGAAGCATAAAAGAGCGATCCAAAGCCTGCGTGAGTATAAGGTCCCCAGCCCCACGTGTGCTCAAGCAAGAGAAGTCCTGTCAACAACAGTGTCGCCACCATCGACAGAATGTTTCCTTTGCACCGGGCTACATGTGATGCACTTCGAGCGTCGAGCGAGGGGATCTTTGGATCTTTCCGTCAAAAACACAATATTATTTTAAAAATGCAATCTAAACCTGCATAAGCCAGCCAAGGTTCGAAGTGTTTTGGAAGCTCCCAGGCTGGTATCGGTACAGTACATCGTACCCGGTCCCAAGATGTACGGTGTCGGGTTGTACATGAGGACTTTGGAAACACAAGAGAGGAGACAGGAGGGGCCGTCCCAGGAGGGGCCGTCCCAGGAGGGGCCGTCGCACTGGTTATAAAGGATTCCAGTGAGATAATGACGCGAGAAACGAGGGAAGAGCAGATCTGCTACAAAAAGCATTGGGCGGTGTTGGTTGAAAGATACCGTACTTCATCAGATTCTAAACCAACAATGCATCTACGAATTTCTCTCTGTCAAAGGCGATGGCGGCGAATGTCCTGGTTTTCCCAGGTTCTTCCACAGGCATCGCCCCCCACTTGTTACCATCCACCACATCGACCTGAACTTCTACCAGTTGGCACACGGACTCGTCAATCGTCGTCGCCAAAGCCAAGAGGTCATGAAGGGCTTTTCGGTTGGTGATAATTCCATCGGTTTGGTACTTGGCCGTCAAAATTTCGTTCAGCCACTGTACAGCCTTGCGGTGTGCTCCAGCTTTGTTTTTGGTTTCCTTTTTGTTTCGTCCCCTGCTCTGGGAATCTGCCAAGAACTCTTTCAAGCGGCCATCCACATATTCATCGTAGGTACATGCATGGCATATATTCTTTCCAACTAGAACACGCCTGGCAACAACTTCTTCGCCTGCTTGCAGAGCAGCCAAAGTTGCTTCAATAGAACCACCAAAGTTCCAAGATGCGACATGAGTGAGGCCTTCGAACTTTGGGAAGACACTAGGGACAACACCCGCATCTACAAAATTGCTGCCGCAGAATCCTCCTTGGGCTACCCAACGATGAATTTTGGCGCCTGCTGCAATTGCAGCTCCTAGGTTGTGAGTTGGGCCACATGTCAGAAGAGTGACTTCAGGATGGTCGTGGCAGATTGCTGCCACGAGCTCCCGCGCTGGCTGGATGTCCCATTCGGAAACTTGACCCGTTGGTTTGAAGGCGATATTGGCGCTCTTGTCAGTGCGGATCCCTGATTCCTTCTTTCCTTTTTTGGACTTTTTCTTGGTTTTGACAGGATCTCGCTCTGTCCTTTGTTGCTCATCCTCATTGTGGCTGGTATTGGGGTGCAGTATCGCGGTCCATTTTTCCAAGTCAACACACTTCTTTTTCTTCTGGTTTCTGGGCCATTCTTGAGCACCCACTAAAACCTGTTTCGCTTCTGCTAGACCCAAAACAGATTCCAGAATATACTTGACGAGGACAATCTGGTCTTGACTGCCTGGGGTAATGGTCACAGCCAACAAGTTGAGTTTTGGATGTGCTGCAGCCAACATCAGAGTGAAAAGGTCGTCTGGGTCTCCAGTCTCCAAGTCCAATACTAGGGGTGACCTTCTCTGCTTCCTTTGCGGGTGACTTCTGTTGGATGATTGCTGTTCGTTCGACATGGCGTCCCTGTGCCAGTGTCTGTTTGGCGGGGGTTGTTTTTGTGGTTCGACCTTTGGCTTCTGGTAGTCAGACGTGCATTCAGCCGTGGATACTGTGTGCCAACCCTTCAGGCACTACTAATAGTACCGGTACCGTAACAACGTCACGGAAATCCTCCCAACTGCTGTGCTCTACTAGTATCACCACACATCTGTGATGAAACGATCAGCCAAGGCTTTCAGCAGAGCAAACGAAAGCTGGCATCGGTCAAATCAAGGGAGTAAAAGCCTCAATACGCAAGATTAAATCACACAATTTCAGGTCGTTGGGAAACCCATCTAAAATCCGACTGATTTGGGTCGGTTTCGAAACCCACCTAAATCGAAACCCGTCCCTAAATTAGGGACGTTTTTTCAGAAACCGTCCCTATTTTCAGAAAACCGTCCCTATTTTTAGGGTGGGTTTTCAAACCCGACCCTAATATTGGTGCGTTTTCAATGTATTTACCAATCAGTCCCGTTTCTATTTAGAGACGTTTTTCAAACCCGACCCTAAATTAAGGACGTTTTTCAGAAACCGTCCCTATTTTAGAAACCGCTATTTTAGGGTCGGTTTCGAAACCCGACCCTAAAGGGAACCCGTCCCTAAATCCATCCCAAAAAATAGGGTCGGTTTTCGTTAAAGCATGCACGATTGAGGAACGCTCCTGCAAGGTCTTGTCGCCACCTGGAAGGTCCCGCAGAACATGAAAATCTGAAATTGAATTCATCACTAATTAAACATTTTCATCACCATTCATCACGGATTCATCATTTTCATCACCTTTCATCACGATTCAACACATTGGTGATGAATTCATCACGATTCAACATATTGGTGATGAATTCATCACCATTCATCATTTCCTATAGTGAAACAGTACTAAATTTCATCACCATTCATCGCCATTCATCACGGATTCATCATTTTCATCACCAGTCATCACGGATTCATCATTTTCATCACCATTCATCACGATTCAACAAATTGGTGATGAATTCATCACCAGTCAACATATTAATCAATAATTAATCATATTTACAATATTTCTTCATTTGCGGGACCTTGCTGCTCTTTTTTAAAACGCACTAATCTGTGACTGACGGTCAGCCGTGAAGCTCAGGTAGACCTGGTAATAATGTTGTATCAGAAATCACGAAACATGATTTTGCTTTACCGCAACTACTCATAACTCTTTTCCTCTCCTACGGGTAACGGTACCAGTAGCCACATACGTGATGTGGATGCGATGATTCACGCTTCGTCTACTGGTACCGTAGTAGCTAGCCGAACTACCAGTGGTACCGAAAAAAATACCAAGTACCTATCGGTTTGCTACGTCACAGGCCCTAAAGCTCGATTCACACTTCGGCTAAGGTACCTGGTACATAGTGCAAGATGCTTCGGAGTCTTTATTGGTAACGTAGTGGGTGGCAACCTTTGATCCTCTACATGTAGCTAGAGGGGACGGCAAACCTGGCACAGTCTGGTTGCTGGTACCTGCTGGTACGTATTTACTTGAGCAATGTTGAACTGCAGCAGTTGCCAAAGGAAAGGCAGCCACCTTTAACAAGAGGCAGTTGGCTGGCTCGCCAATGCCGTCCAAACATTTTGAGTGCAGCTGATGTGAACAACACAGTGAAACTCATTGAACCTGGGAGCTACATGTATCATCATTCTATGGTAGCCACCAGCATCTCTCAACCCCCGACAAGCTAGCCAGCCAGCCAGCCAGCCAGCTACATGTATCTACTAGTAGAGCTCTCTTCCACAAGAGCGGTAATCCTTGGAGAACTCTTTCTACATCAGATTCTACTCTCGGTTGCAATCCAACGAAATGCAAGCTGTTCACTCGTACAGTACGTACGGTATGATACGGTAGACTTGAGCCTCAATAATGCAAAGTCTTTGAAACAGTAATGCGGAAGTTGGCTTTTGATAGACACACCGCTTGAAGCCCGCACAGCACAGCACATCTATCTTTGTGATCGAGCCAGAAAGACGAGTGATCAAGCTGAAACTGAGACTCGCTAGAGTGTCGTTTGAGAATCAGTCCTAGGAGCAACCTTCTTCGTGCCAAGCAAGCAAGGTAGATCGAGCATTGATTGATTGCAGGGCTTGATACAAGGTATGTGCTAGATCGCCATTTTGAATGGTTCCCCGTGATCTTACTAATAATCTTCGTACTCCTCCTCCACCCCAATTTCCCCCGTCCAACCACTACCGTCGACGACGACATCATCCCAAATATCATCATCCTCATTGTCCTCCACATTTCCCATGATTGCGGTTGTTCCCCGAGAGGAAGACGAAAAGCCTCCTCCTCCTTTTGTTTTTTGAGTATTGTTTCTGTCGTTGTTTCGGGTGACGGATAGTATCGTCGTGGTACTAGCCGAAGAGTTGGTTGCGACTGTCGCAACGACGCCAAGTGCTTCCGTGGCATTGTTGTCAATGTCATCGTTAATTCTGGATACTACCGGTACTACTACTTGTTGTGGTGGCAAATTGATGCTGACAGAACCAAAAGATTCCATTTTGGGTGTGGGACTGGGTGTGGGTATGACAATACTAATGACGGATGTGAAGGATGATGTCTTGGGTGTGGGGCTGGGTGTCGCTGGAAAGAAGGTTGGAGCCACTGTCGTCGGAAGCAACGTTGTTGGAAAAGGAGTGGTTGGAACAGCAGTGGGAGAAACGGTTGGAGTGAAGGTGGGATAGTGTGTTGTGGGAGACAAGGTTGGGAGCCATGTGGGAGTACCCGTCGAGGGAGTAAGAGTCGTTGGATCAGCAGTCGGCACAAATGTAGAAGCGTCCGTCACAAATTGTAACGTACCAGAGGGTTTGTCTGTAGTTTCGGCCAAGGGTGCTCGATAGGCATCCCATTGTGCGTACATCCATGCAAACTGCCCGTCGGTGAATTCGAACATGCAAGGATCATTGCTGAGATTCATAAAGTTGTGAATGGGATCGGATCCTTCATGATCGTCTCCCGTGCAGGTATCCTTGGGTTTCTCGCAACCAAACGCCGGACCGGATTCGGCAGGAGTATCCAGAATGAAATCTCCCGGTCGATCACATCCATTTTGAAAGGTATGATACAATCCCAGCCAATGTCCGACTTCATGAACCAGTACATCTCCTTCGTCGTAGTCTTCAGCCGATCCACCCGCGACGGTTTCGTATCGAATGACGACTCCGTCATTGTCCATTTCGTCTTGACATCGATTGTAACACGACGTGGGTTTATCCTCCTGTTCATCATCTTGACTGTCCCAATCGTAGCAATGAAATGCCTTGGTGCCCCATCCAAAGACGCCTTCGACAGGGCCTGTACTGTAAATGTTGAGTGTGGTGCAGTCTCCCTGTCGCAGTTCCGACTTGTAGTCGAGATCATGATCCGAATCCAATGAATGCCAATCATCGTCAAACGATTCCGTCTTGTCGCGTGCCAAGTCAAACTCAAAGACAAATCCTCCCGTGGTGGCATGGGCAAATGCTCGATTGAGGGCGTCCACACTGTCGACGATTTGCTGATCCGTGGCGGCCCTCGATCCGTCACTTCTTGCAATGCTGTGCCATTTGACGGCGATTCGAATGGGTTCCGAGTTGGTGGTTGCTCGCAGACCAGATTTGGGGCAGTGGGGGTTGCGCTTGCTAGTCTCCTCCAAGTTGTCACAGGTGTGCTGGGCCAGCCACTGTTTGGTCACGGTGCTGGCGGCCATCATTTCGTGGAGCGTGGGTTCTTTGGATCCGCATTGGACATGTTTCTGATTGTCTCGGAATTCCTCGCTGTGCGTCCACTCGTTGATGCTCTTCCACGATTTGCCTGCCGCAACAACCATCGGCTGCTGCAATTCTCTGTTGTGATCAGCAGCAGCACCACCATGGTGGTTGCTGTTGCAAGCGCATGTACATGTACAAGACTGAAGCAATAAAAGCAAGGTCGCAAACGGACCGTACAACATACTAGTAGTAGTCACAACAACAAACCCCATTCCAATCCTTTGCTGCAATGAGCATTCACTAAAGTATGAGGGAGAGTGAGGTTCTAGCTAGCTTCTAAAGGATGCCGCATTACGTACTGACGCTTCAAATTTTGCCTCTCGAGGGCCACCATGGCCAATTTTGGTTCACCATCAATCAATGTATCGATGCCACCTCGTCACATTCGTCGTTTGGGGATGAAGATACATGTAGATAGAGAGACGCAAGACTGTAAAGCTGTTCTCACGAACTTTTACATCATGTACCGTACCGGTATGGGTACCAGTACCATAAGAGAACATCTATCTACATGATGTATCGAAAGAGTAAAAAAGAAAGTGCTGAAACAAGGGAAAATGGTCATGGTGGCGATTGGCTGGTCTTGTTGTCACTGAATGAAGTATGTAACGAAGTACCGCCTTTGGTGTTGGGACTTGGGACTTGGGACATTCCATACCGTGTCGTTGAAATCAATCTTGTCAGACTTATCTTAGTTTGGCGCGCCAATGGAGGCGACTCACTCCCTCTTGCCTCCATTATGTCCTTCAGGATTGTTCCTAACCAGCCAAAATGACGTCCGTACGTACGCCAAATCAAAATAAATCGAAATAACTGCCGAATTCGGAAAGGTGACCTCCAAATCCACAGATACGGCGAACCGCAGGAAATGTTTATAGTAAAAAAGTGGAGCTGCGGTTCGCAGGATGAATGGATTTGGAATTCGCGTAGGACCAATCAAAACGCTCGAGCCTGTCGATCCACTGACTCGTCACTCAATCAGTCGCTTCACGAGTCTCTAACTCTACTACCAACAGACCCACCGCGGCAACTAAGAAGGTTAACAAGCAACCTAAGGGTAACCTTCAAGCTAATACCATTGTATGCCTGTTAGCCTTCTTGTTTGTGGTGGTGGGTCTGTTGGTAGCTAGCTAGTTAGCTAGCTAGCTAGCTAGCTAGCTACTGTAGCTAGCTAGCTGGCTATCACTTGGTGGTACACCGGTATTAGTAGTGCAATCCCAGCCCTGCTTACTTAAACCAATTCGGTTGGAGGGAGTATTGTATGTGGCTTCGCGTACGGCGTATCTCCTCCGGTTGGTTAAGAATGAAGCCACATACGCGATTACTAAATGAAAATAAATGTGGTTCTCTTTTGGTTCTCGGCGTACGTACGAACCACATGTTCGCGGATAGGAACGTACCTCAAGACGAACCTGTGTAAGAAGAGAGGGATGACGTATGTGGCGATCTCAGTGTAGCAAGCAAGCAATGGACCAAAGTGCATGGATCATTCCAGGACCGTCAAAGAGGTCAAAGGGGGTGGTCAATAATGGTGGGCCATTCGCAGTGGTTGCTCCATCCCAGATCCGAGAAGCGTAGAGTCGCGTTACAGTAGTCTAGTACCGGTCTGAATACAGAAATGACAGAAATGCTACGGTACGGTACGATGGAGGAAGTCAACATGACCGCAAAGCAACCCACACCAAAATGGTATTCGCGCTTTTTAAAAGCAGCACAGCATCATCTAGTCTATCTGTACCCCACCATCCGAATCGACTACTCAGCTACTAGGTACATTTACGTGAACTGTAGGGTTGATCAACTTCATTCACATCACTTTGGTCGGTACCAGTACTGCGTAGTCGAGCTCAGTCTCCGCCCGGAGCGAGAAAGAGCATCAGTACCATACCAGTGCCAGTACTCGAGTCGAAATACTAGCTACCTACCGGTAGCCAAAGCTGCACAGCTTTTAATATTTTCGGAGGGTTTCTGAACGCCATTCACGTTTCTTTCGTACAGAAACCTGGCAAAGGTACCCCTTGAAGTGTACCGGTACCAGTACGAACAGTACTCGCTAAAATCTCCAAGGTCCTCTGCAATTTCCCCAACGGTCCTGGCATACTTTTACTGCCTGGATCATCTGTGCTCTTGACCTCCACTACTTTTAATGGTACCAGACTCTGCTGTAATATCCGGATAGCGCCGTAAACGTAAGGATTGAATCATTCGATTGAATCGATTCGCCTTGGTCGGTGGTTGCGAATGGCACACTAGGTACTAATACTTACTTGTATGCATAAGTCGGTTCGGATCGGATGCATTCTGATTTCTTGTAAAATCTATTTTTATTTAAAAGCACTTCCGTTAATTAGAAGGATCGTGACACAATTGTAAATCATGTGAACAGGAAATGAACCGCCAAGGATATTTTACTGGTATTAATAAGCGTCGCGTATATGACATAGCGGTGGTACCATAAGCGGCGCGGTACCAGGAAAGCAACCTGTTGGCCATAGTTAGAAAAAGTCGTTGTAAAGTCGCTAAAGTCGCTTTTAAAGTCGCGGTAAAGTCGTGCGCGACTTTAAAAGTCGCGGTAAAAGTCGCAGTAAAGTCGTGGTGAAATTGAGGGATTTAATGACTAAAGTCGCGAAAAAGTCGCGGAAGTCGCGAAAGTCGCGGTAAAGTCGTGTTAAGGTCGTTCGCGACTTTTAAAGTCGCGAAAGAGTGCGACTTTTGGCGAATTTCGCGACTTTCAAGAAAACACGACTTTATGACGTCACCAGGTGCCTAAAAGCTTGTCGACACAGTACAGGAGAGCAGTCTACTACTCCAGTACAGTGTATGTCACCAACTTTGTCTCGTACGTCGTACGGGAACTTGGTACCGTACCTGGCTGCAGCTGTGGTACACGATCAAATCACGAATGGTTTCCAGTTGAATGTACTTAAAAAATTTATAGTAAAGTAGCATACTCCGGAGTAGTGTACAAAGCCGAAGGGTGGTCCTTTTAAATCATGCCCCAAAAGGTGAGATGCTGTGGTCTCAGGCATCTCATCTCAATGGGCAGATTTAGAAGTGGGTCACGAACTATTTCGGATGCTGGCGACTTCAGAAAACTGGCAACAACGACTCGTTGCGCGAACCGCTTTCAATGGCACCAAACCAATGCCGCTGCAGTCCAGTTGGGATCAGATCATCCAAAGCTCACAATTTCGATTCCTCCACAAACCAAAAGCAGCTCAAAAACGACCAAGCAGCACCTCTTTCTTTTGTTTTGCAACCATGAAGTTCTCATCCTCAATCCTTTTCGCCGCATCTTTGTTTGTGGCCAACCTCGGCGCAACCTTTGGGCATGGCGTCCAGATGTTGACCTGCATCAGTCCTGCTGGAGGTCTCCGTGTGTTCATTGAGCACTGGCACGAACATACCGCTCCTGCTATCTCTCCAGGCGACACCATCCAGATCCAAAAGAACACTGAAACATCCGTACCTACTGCTTACACTGGGACTGTCTTCAATGTTCCTGAGACTTCCTTGGGATATCTGTGCAAAGGCAACGCCATTCCTATGCATATTGCAAGCTGTGGAAGCAAGGCGGATACATACAATGATTGGGGCTGGTTTGACTTCCCAAGTGTTGACTGTAATGCACCATCGGATACCTACACCATCGAACAAGGAAATACTGTTGTGTTCCGGGAAGACTGTTCCCATCTCTACCCCCAGACCTTTTCAATCTCTGGTATTTGTGATGCGGCCACAGGAAGGATTGGTGGTGATCCCCACATCCAAACTTGGGATAAGAAGTGGTATGATTTCCATGGACAGTGTGACCTTGTCTTCCTTGAGAACGAGGAGTTCAATGATGGCCAAGGCATGGATATCCATGTCAGGACCACAGCCCGATACCAGTACTCCTACATTGAAGCTGCTGCCTTGCGCATTGGAGACGATGTCCTGCAAGTCAGCTCGCATGGTAACTACTTTTTGAATGCTATTGGACAGGCCTCCATGCCAGCCACCCTTGGAGGCCACAATGTGACTTATTCTGTTGATGACAACAAGAAGCACACATTCGTCACTCACCTCGGAGATGGAAGGAATGTTGTCATCCAAACTTTCAAGGACTGGGTCAATGTCAAGCTGGATGCTGCTGATATGAAGAACTATGGAAACAGCAAGGGTCTTCTTGGAGAGTTCCCCACTGGTGACTGGGTTGGCCGTGACAACTCTATCTTTACTAATGCCAATGAATTTGGACAGGAGTGGCAGGTTCGTGACACTGATGCCAAGCTTTTCGCGGTCAACCGTGAACCCCAGTTCCCCCAGAAGTGTGTCATGCCCGACCCCAAGAGTGCTGCTCGTCGTCTTGGAGAGTCCATTGCCAAGGCCACGGCTGAGAGGGTTTGCGATCACTGGGCTGCTGATGAGAAAGACCTCTGTGTCTTTGATGTCATGGCCTCTGGAGACTTGGAGCACGCTGCTGCCGGAGCTTTCTAAGAAGGCAATTTGACAGTGCTACTAGTAGTAGTATGATTGCTTTTACGATACAAAAAGAGGAGAACGGTGGATCTGTCTTGAAGCAGATTCTGTTGCCGACTCGCACCAAAGATAGGTACCGATAATATGTGTAAAATTGAAGTTCAGACAAACTGGTATCCGTCGGCCTAGCATAGTACATGTAGTTCTTTTCGACGGAGTTAGCAGTTCTATTCGTCGGGTGGTTGCTAGTAGCTAGATAGGAAGAGCAAGCCCCAAACTTAGCTAGGAAGAAGGCAGAAGAGGGTCTTGGGCATACGGAACTTGGACGGCAGCTTTGAGATCATTCGCACCGGTTGTGCAGCGTAGGAATCTAAACCCCCGTGGAATCATAAAATAGAGTAATTCAGTGGGATGCTGTCATGTTGGTCCCAGCAGGCCTGCCTATGGAGGGGCAAAAGGGGGGAAATCTCAGAAGAAGGCTTCGTGACAAGATAGGTGCTACGGGTAATAGCTTCTGTCTAGCCAGATGATGAGCAATGTACCACACTAGCCCCTACATATCGGCACATTCGTCATAGCTTTGGCGGTGAGACAGGAAGAGCCTGGTGTGCGTGGTGCGTGGATGATGATGGGATGGATGAAGTGAGGCAACCAAAATTGTGTGGCTGGGTGCATTGGCTGCTCTGCCACCCACAAATTGCTTTTTTGGCGCACAAAGGTTTGTTGTGGCTCCGATGAAACTCTTTGGGGCGTCTGGGGTTGATAGAGCATTATTTGATGAACACTGCATGCTGGTTGCCTGAAAGTGGTTTGCCGGTGGCGACTATGTGCAGAGAAACAACGCACCAATCCAGGTCAAAGGAAAATGTCAATTCTCAAGCTTGTTGTTGAAACGATTTCAGAGCTCGATGAGGTCAACAGGTCCTCTTTGGAAGACATCCAAGGCGAGATGGTCATGCACATTAAAGCACGGTATCAAAGCGGGAACTCTGGTTCCAGCTCATCCTTGGGGCGGTGGAAGATAAACGTTCTCGTGTTCGCTCAGTGCACCCACATCGCCCGAAACGGCGCAAGGGACCAGGTACCGGTACTGCCCACTGCATCCCGGCTTCCATTCCACCGGAAGAGGACCGAAACTCTCTGCCGTGGGAAACATTTGAAAGCGGAAAACAGCCCGGTGCACAGTTGCCTGCAAAGAATGAAAAATCAACAACATGTCTCCATGCAATGATTTCCAAACCTCGGTCGAGACATCCGCAACAGCTGTCTTTGGCTGAAAAAGTCTTTTCGGTGGATCTTGTAGCTATAGATGGGAACTTTGGCGTCCACGAGCTGTTCGTCGTGTCCAAAACCAACAAAAGGTTGCGCAGTGTGATTCGATTCGCATGGAACCCTTTTTCCTGGCGGCAACCCCAAGGGATCCAAAGAAAGACTTGTCCCACTTTTAAACTTAAAGCCAATCAAATCTATACACCTTCCGCCTGCGCCTCCTGAGAATCGTCAACGGGCGACGCTGTGAAAACTGCAATCAGCGGGGTTGCCGATTGGTGACCCAAGAACACACAGTGTCTTCTTGTGCTACCAGGTACAAGGATGTACCAATGCCAACTTTACCCGTAAAGTGGACCGAAATGGGCGTTGGAAATTTCGTCTTGGACATCCTCGCGTTTTCTCAGGCCAAACCAATGAGCGCAAGTAGACTACTGAACCAGCGCAAGACCAGCACAGATACCGCAATAGGTGAGGATGTATGAACGTCCCTACCGTACAGAGAAAGTGCAACGGAGAAGAAAGGGCAGGCCCCATCTTGACATTGATGGATGCAGGGCTGCCCTTGAACAAGATTGCGGCAAATAGAGATGTTCACTTATCAGGCCGATCAAAATCATTGACACCTATGAAACGTACGTTCGGGGAAACAAGGACGTCTACTTTTTGGTTCAAAAGGTGGAACGGCGGAAGCAGAACTCCCCTGAACAAACGAAGGAGACATGAAGAAGGACGAGGGCCTTTGAGGATACGCAAGCCTTAGAAGGATCTGTTAATAGTTGATGCCGCATCTCCATTGGATTTGGAGAACCTGGACTGAACACTTCCTGCGTCGAACTGCGTCTAATGGCGCCCAATTTGATATCCATTGTACGTTTAAAAACAGATGGCACTCATTAGTTTCGGGGCTAGTTGGCTAGAAAGAATATCACAGCTGGCTAGTACCATTGTAGACTGTGACTGGCGGAGAGAAGAGGGTTCCCTAGCTAAAGCGGCGCGGAGACAAGCTCGGCAATAGAATAAATCATCTCTCCGATGCAAGGGCTGTCCCTGCAAGCTGTTGCAGAAACCCCGTGAAAAAGTGAGCATGTTCGCTTCTACGAAATCTTGACACCCAGTCGGTCATGGCGTATCTTTTTACCTTTAAATCATAATGGTGCAGAAGACTCAAAGCTTTATCGCTTCTTCCCTCACCAGATCCTCTGAAGATCTTCTCCTCAGCTCTCATCTCCTTGCCGTGGCTCTCACCTCCGTGCCGTACGGTAGGCTCGACTATCTGGCAGCCTATCGGACTGTGAGCGGTCCTTGCTCAGATAAACCTTTGCACTGCACTCTGCCGTGCTGATCTGTCTTGTCAACAACACGAATCAAGATGGCCTCTTCACCGCCGTCGCCAAGCACAAGCGATGACGAGTCATCCGAAGAAGACTCTCCCACCATTCCCGAGCCCGATGTTGCAGGTGATGACACTGGAACTGCTGGTGAATCGCAAGGCGATACTGCAGAGGAGGTACAAGTAGACGATGGAGCAGATGAGGAAAGTGAGGCTGCTACTGCTGCGAAAAGTGGTGTTGGCCAGAAGGAATCAGAAGACGACGAAGCGGTAGCTGAGACCACCGCCAATGACACGCCAAAGGATAAAGACGGTGAAGACGGAGAAGGGGAGACCAGTGAAGTGGGCATAGACGAGGACAATGCAGTGGATGAACAAGACGGGGTAGGAAAAGACGGTCGAGTGGATCAAGTCGATGCCGAGACAAAAGACGAAGACGTAAAGAAGGAGGGCGGATCAATGGCAGAGGAACCCAATGACAAAGAGGATCTCGAGCCAGCTGTCGCAACAACATCAGACGACAAGGATGACACAGTATCAGATGACGAGGATGACGTAACAGAAACAAAAGCTGACGATGATACCACACTAATGCCACCACCCTCAGAGTCACAGACAGTGGAAACAGCAAATGCCGTCCGAGCGGACGAGTCACTACGCAGCAGTACTCCCGCACCAGCTCCTGCTCCCGCACCCGCACCACGAACCAAGACACACGAAGCACCTCAGCATGTTACCAGGCCTACCGGTAGCAAAACGTGGTTGTCAGGTGCCATTGCCACCATTGGCAATATTCCCACAGCCGTGGCCAAACGCACGATAACGCCCGTCGGAACTCTCAGCGTCCATTCAGGACATAGCAGTGTCATGACATCAGCAAGTAGTGATCACAACAGCACCGCTCGCAGTGTGGATTCGACCGGGAGTGCTTCCACCGAACGAGCACAAAATCGACGGCCAGGAAAGAGAAAGAGCAAAACGAAAAAGAAGAGGATTGACCCAGACACGTTGGCAAAATACACAAACCAAGTCACATCCTTGCTCGAAGAACACTTTGGAGCCATCAAAGACGACGAAGCCACATTTGAAGACATGGGACTCACATCTGCCAAAGCCATCGAACTCAATACGCAAGTGGCCAAGTCGTTGGGTGTCACGATGCCACATGACTACCTGTACGAGTTCTGTGCCACACCGGCCATTTTCAAGACATATGTTGTCAGTCGCATGAGCCAGGATGAAAGCTTTGAAACGGTTCCTCGAAGACCCGTGGTAGAACGAAAGATGCATCCCAAGTACAAGCTTCGATGGGGGACCATGGGCATATATCAAGCAGTTCTTGCCGTGGTAATCTTGTTGCTGTGCACGTTGTCATTGTTGCCATGCTGGTACTTGTTTGATGCTTTGTGGAAGGTCGACATGCTGTCCCTGCTGGTGCCCATTTACATGGTGAGCGCTACTGCAGTGCTGGTCGTGACAAAATGGGTTGTCGTCGGACACTATCGGGCAAAAAAGATATCAGCTCCATCACTACTCTACTTGCAATTCTGGTTTGTTGATCGGTAAGTTGTAAAACTACGTACATGAACCAGCTGCGTGTTTGGCATTCTTATGCCAAAAGTCACTCACAAAACCCCCATCCAATTCTTTGATCGAAAGCTTGGTAGCGATTTGGGAATGCTATGTCGGACGGTTCCTGCTGGATACGCCCTGGTTATGTGGGGTGTACATGTTGCTGGGTGCAAATATCAGCTTGTCTTGCAACCTCAAGGGCTTCATTCGAGAATTTGATCTCGTCACTATTGAACCGTATGCTACACTGGATTATCCCTGTCTACAGGCACGGTCTTTCCAATCCTGGGATGTCATGGAACGAGGTCCTACCATGATATTTCGATCCATTACGATCGGCACAAAGAGCTACGTCCGCGGATTCTTGTCGCCCGGGGTCCGTGTGGGCCGGAAGGTATGTGCAAACAACTAGGTAGCTGTGTGACAAGTTGCCAGAAACTCATTCCCTTTGTTTTCATTTCCACTATCCAGGCCCATGTCGCAAAGTTATCTGTGGTACCCGAGGGATCTGTAATCCCAGAAAAAACCTTGGCAGCAGGGAATCCAGCCGTCTTGGCGGGTTCAGCTCCCAAACATACCTACTATGGATGGGGCCTCTTCAGTCTTCTCAAGACAATCTTCATGTACTTCGATCTGTGGCTATTTTTCCTGCTGGCGAAAATGGCAGCGCTAGTCACCAAAGCAGTCCTCGGAGGTGGGAATGGCACCAACGACTTGAACATTTGGGCATTTTTGTGTTTCCTATTTGTTTACGCAATCTCCATGCTTGTGAGCAGTGTCCTTGTCAAATGGCTTCTCATTGGAAGGCGAAACCCAGGACCAGCTCGGGAGTATGTCTGGCAGGCCTTTGCTGACTGGGCAGCAGACTATCACTTTTCCCTTGCCATCCTGTTGTACCGAATTGTCGCCAGTCAATCACGCCTTTCCAACTTGCTGCTAATGCTGCATGGCATGTCGTTGGATTTCGCCTCTAAGGTCAACATTGCGTGTTTCCCCCCTTCCAAAGTTGATATGATCTGCATGCGGCGATCGTTCGTTGCAAATTGTACGTTCGATGTCAGGAAGAATGGCGAGTTTCGCAAAACCATCATCGAAGACAGCACTATTGGATCCGGAAGTCATATCGCTCCGGGTATGTCCTTATGCCGGGCAGTGGTCCCTCCCTTGAGTTTTGTAGGAGAAGATGTTGATAAGAAGGGGATGAAGCACATGAGCCATCTTGTCAACTCGTGGCGACTCTACTTCCATGAGATTGTGAACCTCTACCTTCACTGCGTCTTTATCGCGGTCTTCTATGTCACACTCCTCCCAGCCTACAAATACTGGATGCTGTTCTACGAAGCCGGAATCAACGGGGGCCATTTTTGGATAGTTTCTGTCGGTGTAATCACCATTTTGACGTACACCTGGGCTCTGGTTCTGCTGGTGCTGCAAGCCATTGCTCTATGTGGTGTTTCAGAAAAAAGACCGTATCCTTGGAGCATGCCATTCTACAACGTCTACCAGTCATTTCTGGATACCTTCCAAGAGTATTCTCTGGCCTGGCATGTGCTGTATGGAACTCAGCTGTTAAACGATTGTATACGGTTGTTGGGGGCCAACGTACATGGTCGGGCACTGCTGTTTGCTCGAAGCTTTGCAGATTTTCCCTTGCTGACTATAGGCGACAAAGCGGTTGTCGATGGAGCACGAGTCTCAGGCAACGTGACACTGTACGACTTCGTAGAACTGGCACCTTCCTACACGTCCGGAATTGTCTACGATGGATCTGTGATAATGGGCAACGGACTGGGGATCAAACAGAGGATTGGCCCGTTCCGAGCGATTGTACAGAGCTCCGAAGAGCTGAGAATGCCTGAACCAGGGTATTCGGAAAGAAGATTAACACACACACCAGAGGTAACCATGGTATAACAAAGGCGAACAGCTGCATCAAAACCAACCTATTATACCACCTGTTCGAGAGAGCATCCTAGCGTAGCCCAAAGTAAATGCATTTCATCGTTTGGTTGCTAGCTAGGAGCAGAAGTTCCCTGTGGCTGCAGCCGTGAAACAATTTAGGCCTTCTCTCAAAACCGTCTTCCGTCTCGATCTCCAATGAATCCCTGATCTTGTGCACCAACTTGACTGGCTCAGCAACCAGCTGCTTGTAGGAGACATGATAAACATTAGGATCTGCCTTGACCTGGCCTTTACAGAATGCAACCAAAGCATCACTGGACAATGCATCCTTCGTCTTCAGGTTCAAATCAATGGACTTCGGCCAGTCAAGATCCTTACATCCAGTTCCTTGGCTGGGTTCGTGCAATCAACCTGCGATGGCTCGGACTACTACTCTTGCAGGCTTCAGATGTGTGATGGCTACAGCTGCTTCAGGGATGGCTTCCCCAAAGTGCAAGAATTGAAGTTGTGAGGGGGGACTTGAGAGGACAAAGCACTCATTGGGATGCTGGTTTTCTCCTTGACCTGCTTCCTCTCACTCTATGGGACATTTCGGAGCTGATTCTCTCGCTGATCTGCATTCTTCATTGGTTGTTGAATCCATTCACAAGTTTTGTGACTCTCTCAAGACAAACTCTGTCAAGCTCCGCTGGGTTGGACGCAAGAATCTTCATATTGTTCTGACACCACGACTCCCCCAATATTTGTTGATACTCCATCATGCAGAGAAACCCTATGTTAGGCCAAACCCAACTCAGCAGGCCACTGATCTGTACTGACTCTTGCCTGCACCCACAAAGAATAGCATGCCTATCAATCTACTGCATGGAAGAAAGGAGACGTAGCAAGGCTTTTGAGATATCCAAAACCTCCTTGGGGGAAAATCTATAGGACTACCGTACCTTGCAGCTGAAGAGCTGCAAAAACGTTGGACACACTGGAAGAAATCAGAATCAAACCAACTTTTAGAACCAATGTAACATTAGGCACCTATTTATCACACGAGACAGACTTGATCATCCAGCCATCATAGAATACGAAATTCTCGTGGGAGAATGCTGGCTTTCACAACCACCATCCCCGTGAGAGATCCACTCCACTCCATGACAACACCAGTCGAGCCGATGACCGTACCGAATCACGCTACCGGTATCCACAGGTCCACAGACAGAGCGGCTGCCACAATACCAAAGCTTGCAGTTCACACAAGTACGAACAGCACGAGTCCCACAACAAAACTCAATGCTAGAGGGTGTTGTGCCTTGGCGCCACTGGTTGGCGAGTTAAAGACCCAGCTCCACCATTCATTGGCCACACAGAGTCTGGCATCATTGCCAGACAAACGCATGACGCGTCCAAAGTAGCTGTCATCATAGTAGATAGGGAGACCATCGAATTCCCAATGATTGCTCTCGGCATTCCATCGGTAGACAATTGCTGCTCCTTTGCCTTTATTGCCAAACTGTCCTCCAACCGCCACACGGCTGCCATCCGTGGACAACGACACTGTGGTGTATCGATTGTGACTGAACGTTTCATTGCTCCAATTCAAGATTCCACCCACACGGGTCCATTCGCCCTGTTCCTGTTGCAGTCCCATGACAACGGCACCGGCATTGCTGCCAATGGCCACCAGTTGTCCGTTTCCCGACAAGCTAATGCTGCGTCCAAAATCTCGTGTCACCAATGCCTTGTCGAATTGCATCAATTCGGGTACCACAATGTCATTGCCCACTTGATTCCAAGAGTTATCGTCCAGCAATTCAAAGACGCGAACAAATCCAATGGCTCGTTCGTCACAATGATGGGTATGCTGTGGGGCTCCCACGGCCACACGAGTGCCGTCCGGGTTGAGGGAGACAGTCTGACCAAATGTACTTTCACCAAACCTTCCATCCTCGCTGGCACAGGGGAAACATCCATCATCCAACGCGTAGATGCAGGTTCCATTGATGATATCTCCCAGCGGGGTCCACTTGTTGCTGGGAGTGGTGGTTGTGGAATTGTTGTCGTTGTCATCATCACTGGACGATCCATACTGTAACACTTGCACATAACTAAAGGTCGCAACTGGTGTTTCTTCCGTGACATTCCAAAAGGGCGGCCCCGAAAGACTGACATCAAAACGATTGACTTCCGTGACACCCACAGCCATCCGTGTTCCGTCAAAGCTCAGGGACGTCGAACGTCCGAATTCGGCCGTCCCCAAGTAGGGCAAGTCGGCAAAATCTCGCGCTGCCAGAAGCACGCTTCCCAGGGGCATCCAGCGTTTCGTGTTATCCTGTTGTTGTCCCAATCGATAGACTTGTACGTGTCCAAAACGATAGGAAGGGGAGAATCGATCCCCATTGGGCGATCCAATCGCCACAACGGTGCCATGTCCACTGATGCTGGAAGACTGCAGCAAACTTCCATTGATACCATCATCATCAATGGACCAAATTCCTGGCAGTATGTTTCCGACTGGTTGATATTCGTAGAGACTGGAGCTGCTGTCGTTTCCTCCTACCTTGACAATCTGCCACACAGTGGTGTTCATGAGATTGTTGTTGTCCTCGGGGGTATTCTCTGTATAGAACATGGTCTCTATAAAGCGAGTTCCATCCGTATTAATGTCCATGGAAGCCACACCGCCAGTGCCTTTGATACTGCTCACTTTTCCACCCACGGGAGATTCAATCGACCCATTGATTGGATGCCAAGTCTCCTTGTCCAGAACATCAAAGACCAAAAATAGAAACACGGGTATCAAGATTCCCGCCAACAACAGAATAGAAAAACCTATCGTAAGGCCAATGGCCAATGCAGAAGCCATTTTGTAGACAGATCGACTGATAGGTTACTTGATTGATTGATAGATTGATTGATTGCAAGAGATGCTATTTCGACTGTTGAGAATGATAGCAACGATATGGGGAGCTCTTGTTGTTTGTCATGGCATGGGGAAGCTGATGGGGAACAGGTTCCACTACAGGACTTCCGTATCCCCAATTTTAATGAAAGCAAGCTCATTAACGAACGTTAACCCCATTACTAGTATCTGTAAAAGAGAAGAAACTCCGCTTTAAAAGGCTTTTTGCCACTGATACCAAACGTGAAGGTACGACTGTACAGTCGTGCTGTACTTACTGTACTGGGTCCTACAGTCTATTTAGTACTAGTAAAGGTAAAATACAGCTCCGCGTTTGGGGGCCTGATGACAATCGTCCAGCAGAGATGACCGGAGCTGACGCTGAAGCGCTCGTTCACCAACCATTGACCCCCATTGATTGAATCGCCATGGCGGACGCTCAACCCGTACCGATTGTCGCTGCCAATGTGCCACAAGCTGCAGAGGATCCTTTTGCAGAGGAGGAAGAAGACGATGTAGACGAAGAAGAGGAACTAGTAGAGGAAGGTGGGCCATCCACACCTCTGAGTTTGGACGATCCCAGACGAATGGATCTGACGCCAGAAGAACATGGTTGGGCGCTTGTCATTAAGGAACTGGTTGAGGAAGAAGATGGACTGGACACACTGTCAGACTACTGGTACGCTCAGGTGGCTTTGGTGGACAAGGGCGACGTCGCAAATTCTATGGAGAGGATTCATCATATGCAACTCTTTCGCCAGGAGTATGACATTCAGGACACGGTGGCACAGGCAGAGCGGGCAGTGGCTAAATACATGGAACTATTTCCCGAATGCTTCCTCTCCTTTAGCTATAACAGTGCTTCTGGGAATTATACCCAAATCATTGATATTTCCAAATTCCACGCCTCGGTCATCAAAAAGCACCCCACTGCCCACAAGGTTTGGTTCCAGGCAGCCTACTATGTCAATCATGCCTTGTGTTCGGACATGGATGCCATTCGCCGAGGAATGACGTTTCTCCTAGAGTGCATGGATTTTGATTGGAAAAAGAATTTTGGATTGGAAATGCTTCGACCTTATTGGTGTGATATTGCCGGTTTCTACCCACTGAATATCCACACTTTTCGATATTTTCACACGGGAGTGTTTGTGAACATGCTGACCAGCATGGCCAAGAAATTCATGCCCGTTGCCATGAGAGATCAGTTTGAATTGGGGTGCATCAATGTATCGGGAAGCTTGAGTCCGATTTTCTTGGCTCCGACGGTGGAAGCTGCCAATGAAAGGACCATGAGCCGATTCCTCCACAGCCTGGAACTTCGCTACAAGAATGAGGAGTCATTCACCCTGAAAACATAATAATAGTATCATATATTTCCCTGCGTATCTGTTGAAACCATCACTGACCATGATATCGAGAGACTTCAATAAATTGGCATGGCATGGTTTACAGGATGTTTACAGGATGAGAATTTGGGATCTGAACTTTTCTTTCTCTCTTGCTGGGGTCTTGAAGCCTTTGTTGCTTGGTCTGCAGCTACCTGCCACTGTTCTCGCCTGGTCCTCTCAAACGAATACGGTTGTACTTGTACCTGGTACCAGTACTCCTTCTGCCAACAATCATGTCCATTTTTCCATTTTAGTTTTATATAGGCAGGGTTAGGGTTCCCGTACCGGCACATATTATGCCGCGTTTGCGGTCTGAGGTCACACATTGAACTTCTTCCTTTTATTGTAGAAGCTGGCCAATCAGCTGTGGCTTCCGCAACCAATATTGTATCGCTGTTGGTCACCTCCAGCCCACCGTTGGCCCAAATTGATAATAGAAGCACAATGGCAGATGGTCAACCCGTACCGATTGTCCCTGCGAATGTGCTGCAAGCCGCAGAGGCTCCTCTTGCGGAAGAAGATGAAGTTGCTGAAGAGGAACTAGTAGAGGAAGGTGGGCCATCCACACCTCTGAGTTTGGACGATCCCAGACGAATGGATCTGACGCCAGAAGAACATGGTTGGGCGCTTACCATTAAGGAACTGATGGAGGAAGAAGATGGACTGGACAAACTGTCAGACTACTGGTATGCTCAGGTGGCTTTGGTAGACAAGGGTGATGTGGCGAATGCCATGGAACGGATTCATCATTTGCAGCTCTTGCGCGAGGAGTATGACATTCAGGACACGGTGGCACAGGCAGAGCGGGCAGTGGCTAAATTCATGGAACTATTTCCTGGATGTTTCGTCTCCTTTACCTACAACCACAGTTGTGGGAATTATACACAAATCATTGATATTTCCAAATTCCACTCCTCGGTCATCAAAAAGGATCCCACTGCCCGCAAGGTTTGGTTCCAGACAACCTACTACGTCAATCACGCCTTGTCTTCAGACATGGAGGCCATTCGTCGAGGAATGGCATTTCTCCTAGAGTGCATGGATTTTGATTGGAAAAAGAATTTTGGATTGGAAATTGTCCGTCCTTATTGGTGTGATATTGCCGGTTTCTACCCACTGAATATCCACACTTTTCGATATTTTCACACGGGAGTATTTGTTAACATGCTGACCAGCATGGCCAAGAAATTCATGCCCGTTGCCATGAGAGATCAGTATGAATTGGGGTGCATTAATGTATCGGGAAGCTTGAGTAAGCTTTTCTTGACTCCAACAGTGGAAGCTGCCAACGAAAGGACCATGAGCCGATTCCTCCACAGCCTGAAACTGCGCTACAAAAATGAGAAATCGTTCACCCTGAAAAGATAATAATTGTATCATACAGTTCTCTGCGTATCTGCAGAGTCCGTCACCGGCCATCTTGAGAGACCATGTAACCTGCCGGTCCCCACGTTGTTGTTTGCCTCAGTCACCGTGGGAAAAGAATCATGGAAGAAGCGTTCTGGTGCCGTGTTGGTTCTGGCAATGTTGCTGCTGCTGGAGATGGAAATCAGACGCGCACTGGGTTTGCTGGTGGCAACAGATTAATGTTGAAGCGAAGTGTTCTTTCCCTAATAAAGAAGGCTTTTTGGAGTGTGCAGGGTGGTCCAAGTCATTGGTGGGACGAAGAATGAATCTAAAAGCCAAAGTCTGCATCTATCTCATCGCCCTGTCAACCTCCCGGACTATTTGGCGACGCCCTCCTGGACGACCTGCGAAAAATGGAAGAAAGAACCCTGACTGCCTACCGGTACCACACATGCTGTCTTGGGGATTGTTCCTGGGGGCCAATGTGACTCCTGCGTTGAAACCACTGTGACTCCTTTGAAGCCAATGGGACTCCTGTGGAGAAACCAAAGAGGTCGTCGTAAGTTTGTGTGGTGTTTGCCGTGTGACGTAGTCTACCATTGCTCCCCCGCTTGTCAAGAAAGACATTTCAAAACGGGACACAACAAAAGGTGTCGGTAATGGGAGAACTCTGGATTGGAGATCTGGTCGGGACACTGGAGCCCTTTGGTTCAGTTTGTCGGGGAGGGTTCTGCCCAATCGTTTCTGGATGGCAAGGAAGGTGGCCACTGGGTTGTAGCGGACCCGGCGACAGCAGAGACCTGCACCGACTCAACGAACAAACTACAGGTACATACACTCTGTACTTGGGCAGTTCGGGGGACCCTTGAGAACGGAGAAGGAAGAAACAGATGGAGAAATTGTGATTGAAGACAGAAAACAGACTGTTTGGTTCGGTGGTTCGGTAGCGTCGTGATCACAAATGTCGAGCCTGTAACAAAGTTTTCAATCTCCAAAGCTCTTCGTCGTCGTGGGAGGACTTTAAAAAAATATGCGCGAGTACTTCTATTCAGTGGCTACGGTTAGCTGCAACTAAGGGCAGCAATCTCGAGTACACTCCGCCTCTGAGCGTGCTGACCTTCGAGCCTAGCTATCAATTGTTACTTCGTACCGCAGTTCAAGTTTCCACGGAGGCCACATGGAGGCCCAACTCGCCGATGGTATCATGGCGGCACATAAGCCTCAGTGTCTACACCAAGACACCCGTTTGCCTGAAAAGGTTGAATCTATGGAGGGGACAAAGCAGCCAGGAAGACTTCCAAAGAGGGAGCGGAGCTCGTATCTTTGAGTAGGTAAACTGAACTTGGAACATTGGACTCTAAGAAGGCCAAAGACAACGCACTGCAGGTGCATGCTACAGTATTGGACCAAAGCCTACTCTTAACCCCCGTTGAAAGCAGAAGGAAGATCCAGAGCTCCATACGATTTTAGCAAAAAAATCCAAGCAGATCGACGCACTCGACTGTCACTCGTGAAGAATTATAACCCAGCAAGGCTGTCATACACGGTGAGCTCTGCCACCTCGCCTTATCACCGCTGCTCTCCGTTGCGCTCAGGCGAGGTCCTATCCAAACTCCATGTGTGTCCTCCGTGCATTCGTGAAACACATTTATTTTCGTCGATTTATTTAGGCGTACGTATAGATTTCATTCCTATCCATGTGACAACACATACGCGGTACGCGAAAGAAACACCACCGCAAATCCCCAACTCTAACGAAATCATCCTTTTCTGTGATACCGTGTGAGTACCGGTTTGCCAGGTAGTCCGTTAACTCGGTGAAGTACTGTGATTTGTATAGTAAAATGGTACGTGTGCGAGATCTCACTTTTCGATTTCGTTAGAGTTGGGGATTTGTGACCTGATGAGTTCGGCTGGCTCTAACGTTCTGATTGGTCCTACGCGAAAACCATTTCCATGAAAGCTACGGTACGGCGAATTGAGAATGGGAAATCAATGGTTCGCCGTACCGCAGCTTTCATGGAAATGGAGGGAAAGCAAGCCGCTTTTTGCCGTTATCTTGATTTCACGTACGTACGGAGAAGAAAGAGGTGCAAATTGCTGGTTAGGACCAACTCTCAGTGAACAGGAGTGTTCCTCAATCGTGCATGACTTTAAATCCGACCCTAATTTAGGGTCGGTTTGGGGGAATTCGTCCTTAAATATAGGGACGGTTTCGAAACCCGACCCTAAATCGAAACCCGTCGCTAAATTAGGGACTTTTTTTCAGAAACCGTCCCTATTTTTCAGAAAACGTTTCGAAACCCGACCCTAATATTGGTGCGTTTTCAATGTATTTACCAGGCAGTCCCGTTTCTATTTAGGGACGTTTTTCAAACCGAACCCTAAAACGAAACCCGACCCTAAATTAGGGACGGTTTTTGAGAAACCGTCCCTATTTTTCAGAAAACGTCCCTATTTTTAGGGTCGGTTTCGAAACCCGACCCTAAAGGGAATCCGACCCTAAATCCGACCCTATTTTAGGGTCGGTTTCATGCACGATTGAGGAACGCTCCAGGAAGGCCCCGTCATGCGACTTGAAGTCCCGGATCAGTCAAAGTCGCGCAAGATCGCTGAAAGTCGTTCACAAAGTCGCGTGCGAGTCGTGTGCGAGTCGCATGCGACTTTTGCACGACTTTCCAAACGACTTTCAGCGATCCTACGCGACTCTGTCACCTTGCTTATAGTCGTGCGAGAAAATCGCACGCGACTTTCATGCGACTCGCATGCGACTTTTCATACGACTTTTGATGCGACTTTGATGCTGTGTGCCACTTTATGCTAATTTTTGGCGACCAGCTGTGGCGTGACCGGGCCTTCCAGAAGGGGTGATGTCATTGACGTCAAGCTTTCAAAGGGCCCAATAATTGATCTCACCTAGACTAATGGGCGACAAGTGTCTTAGTAATGGAGGCCATTCACAGGAGATTTACTCTGCCGGGCAGCCTCGTCCCACTTTCTCACGAGTGCAAGCAAAGCAAGCGGCTTCTCGACTCCAATCCAGCACTTCGTCCTTTTTTCTGGCCATTATCACCACACCGGAGCGAGCTGCCCATCTAGCTTCAAGGCCTTATGGTTCAACTTTCCACTAGCCATCTACCAAGGAAACTCCAGATAGCGACGATTGCCATCCCAATAGCCAGGGCAGTCCTCATCAAGTTTACAAACTTTGCAGGGACGACCAGAGAGGCCAGCCAAGCAAAGACTCTGGCGATCCAACAGAAAACAGAATGCACTGCAAGCAGCAAGAGTCTTCCGACTTGGGAGCAGCACTACTACACTTGTAGTAACGATAGTAGCCAAAGATAGTATCCCACAAAGAAGCTGTGCTGGAACCAACGGTACCGGCCGCAGTTGCTTCAGACCAGGCAGGTGCAGGATGTTGCTTGGCCATTGTCAATTGCCTTATTGCCTCACAGAAAAGAGCCTTTGGCTGCTTGGGCGCTTGCTAGATCAACCAGCATTCTTCTTCGGCTAACCAGGCCAAAGAAACCGAGCAAGAAAGTATTTATTTGGCAAGCCAAACCATGAGAAGAAAGTTGCCAGGCAAAGCAGCCAATAGATGGGCACAAGCATCCAGGAAAAGAAGCACTCTCTGAAACCTTCTGAGGAAAAGCTGGTGACTAGAGTCTGCAGCTGCCTGTCTTCCCTGAAGGCTGCAACTCATTGGTCTACACGTCCCTGCAACGTGTGGACAAGGAAGATGGAAGGCCAATGGAGTGGGGAATGGGGAAGGTGCATGTTGGATTCGGTGAAGTTGTGAACTAATAACTGTGAACAGTGAGTGACACTTGCCAGGCCAGTGTTAAATAAATCAGGCTCCTCTACAGAAATATTCAATTTCCAGGGAGAAGTAAGGCTCGTTGAGGCATCTGTGCTTGTTTCGATTCTACATTATGTTCTATACAAACATCCCAGCCAATCTAAAGCCGAGTTGGAAGAACTCTGGGTGAAGATAATCAGCTGAGGATCTAATCGTAAGCTTGAAATGACTTAACGGGTGAGCGATTGTTGCATTCGTTGGCATTTGAGGGTCTTCTTGTGCCAAAATACATAAAGACTTGTATGACTGGTTCAGATGCTCTTCTCGCCACATCATTTCCCGGTGACCAAGTGATTAAATCCCAGGACATATAAACAGAAGGCAAATGACCACAACCTTCTTCCTCTTCTGGCTTCATTTTTTGGCCCCTAAATCGAATAATCCTAGCTAGCAGCTTCCCAGGCGCTACTACTGGTACCAGTAGCTAGCCATCCAGCTATTAAATAGTTAGCATTGGGTTTGGAAGCTACTTATACTCTCATCAAGAGGGATTCTATCTTGCTGCCAAGCTGCCAATACAGTACGGTACATGTAGACATTAGACATCTGCTGACTTTGAACTGTGTTCCACTAAAGAAGGATTCAATTGCACAGTGGCAGCCCCAAGGAACGACTGTGGCATAGAGCCTCCGCCCCTTCTTTTTTCAGTTCAGTTTCGTTGCTTACAGTCGTCATAATTTCTTTGCTGGCATCCACCAAAAGCCATCAGACACACACCACGACAGCGCCACTACACTTATAATATTCGAGAAGCTACCATCACCACAAACCACCACCATGATGTGCCCCACCACTACCACTACCGAGAACCAACCAACCGGTCCCAAAGAAAAGAGAGACAGCTTGGAAGGCATGTGCATTCTCGCTGCTGCCAACGCTGGTTCCTTGCCCGACAGTCCACGTGGAGTTGTGGATCACGACAATGATGTCGTCGACGACGACAGCGCTGCCAGGAAGGAGAGACGCAGAGAACGACGCAGGAGCGATAACGAGTCGAACCATGGGAGAGTTCGAAGCAGGAGCCGCAGCAGCCGAAGGAGCTTAAGCAAAGCGGGATCCAGGCGTGGTCTCCTTTGGGCCAGTGATTCGACTGGAACGCTCCGACAGACTCATACGTTCGACGGTGAAACGCAGGATGCGCCTTGCGGCAGTGCTGGATCGCTCAAGCAGAGCCACTCGGCAAACTGTCTCAAGAAGTCGTCCTTTGATTCCACAGAGAGGAAGTCTTCCGAGACCAAGACAAACAGAAAGAAGCGTTCTTCCAAGAACAAGGAACTCAAGGAGCACGCTGCCACTTTGACCCAGTCGTCTTCCACTCCAAATCTCAAGGCGTCAACCTTGAAGTCGTCAACCTTGACGACGGAACCCACCCTGTTGGATAATGCCAGTCTTATCCTGCAGCAGCGCAAGACCGATCGACGCCGTCGCAGTACCATTGACCAGAGCAAGGTGGATTCACTTGGCAACAACATGCGACGAACCAGTCTCATATCCAAAGACTCTTTCCCGTCACTCTTGAACGATCTTGATAGGGCCACCACTCATTAGATGAGCTTTGAGGTACGGCCGGTAGCCCAGTGGTCACAGTAGCCAATCCCTGCATCATACATAACATTCAAGTAGAACAAAGCAGACAGTTACCTTGCCTTCTGCTTCCATGTACCCAGTACGTAGCATCCTGCTGCATGCTTCTTAGGTTAGGCAACCTCGGCTGGGTACCGGTATAACCGAATCATCCATGATACAATGATCTTTTCCGGTTCTTCAAGTCCTGGGTAGTGGAGAAGATCTCCGTTTGATGCGCCGTAGCGTATTAGTTGGTGGATCATGTCAATCTTATCCTGCATCAGTGCAAGACCGATCGACGCCGTCGAAGTACCACTGAACCTGCCCATATCTTTGACCAGAGCAAGGTGGATTCACTTGGCAGCATGTGTGCGAAGAACCAGTTTCACAGCCAAAGACTCTTTCCCGTCACTCTGGAACGAGATTGAGAGGGCCTCCACTCACTAGACGATGAGCCTTGATGTATCGAGTTAGCCCAGTCACAGTAGCCAGTCCCTGCATCATAACACATCCAAGTAGTTACAATGCATACATTCACCTTGCCTTCTTCTGCTTCCAATACGCCGCATCCCGCTGCTTGTGAGGCATCGGTTGGGTATGGTGGAATGATTGATGATACATTGCCCAGGCAGGTTCGGTCCTTCGAGTCCTGGTTGGTGAAGATTCTGTTTGAGCCCTTTCAATGTTGCTGAATCGAATTAGTTTGTCGCAAGCTGAAGGAGACTAGACACCTCACTGCTACCGTATAAAACAAGCAAGTTGGATGTCCGAAGGAGCGATGGGTCGAACGGGGTGGCACAGGCCAATTCAAGTTCTCGGGTGGATGGCATTCACGCACGCACCCTGTTGAGCTACGGAGAGTTCCTTCGCCCCCAAAGGACGAAATTTCAGATAGATCAAAAGGCTTCAAGCAAAGGACGGAGCTCCATCACAATAGCTCTTCTACAGCCATTCTTGCCCCCAAAGAATGATCAATCAGCAACAACAAATAACTGCTGCTGCCTACAGAAGAAATGGCAGGATGTCAATCATGAATGATGCACAGATCAAAGCTTTTCAGTTGGCTGGGAGATGCATAGCCACCGTAGCTCGACAACGTTTGAATTACCTTCTGCAAGGAAGATAAGCAGGATAGAGGATCGTGATAGCATGATTGAAGAAGAGTGCGAGAGAGACTCAGGGCGGCTCAAGGCCATTTTCTTGTCGTGAAGATACTGTTGTGGCAGCCAAGTCGAATGGTATTATTGTCGAATGGTAGTATTGATCATCAGTCTGGTACAGCAGTGTGTCCTTTTGCCAATGATGAACCTTCACTGTTTGTCTACGATGGCAAGCATCTCGCTGCTGGCTGCTGCTCACGTTCGTACTTTACGTAGCTTCATTGTGAAGGGCGAATCAAAGTCATCCATTCAGACCGGTTTTACATGGAGGTATCACCTCGAAAACATCATGAAACATTCCCCGTGTGAACCAAACATTAGATACCGTAGATGATGAATGGCAGAGATATCCTGCGCTGGAGCTCACTGGATAGTTTGGCATCATCCAGCCAGCCGCGCTGCATCGGATGTGGTGAATGTGGCCATGCTAGCTCTAGCTAGCTAGTGGGGGTACTTTTTCCGCATCTCTCACTTGCCTTTCAACAACAGTATTCTTGCTCAGGCGACTGGACGGTTCGCACGAAGCGTATCTTCAATGAGAGATATAACACTCGTAGTTTTAGATTCGATAGCAGAATGCTGGAAAGAAGGCTTCTCACGTGCGTGGCACAAAATACTTGGAGGTAGACGAGGCAAATGCAGTCAAAACTATTCATAACTTATTTACTAGTCTACTAGTACTCTGAACAATTGATAACCAATCTACCAGGCATGCAAACGTCCGAGAAATAGCGGAAGTACCTTCGAACCTCCGTACATCCTTCGGGGTTCGCTCTTGGCATTCACTGGTTAAGTGAAATTCACACTGTGGATGGATTCACAGAAAAGAATAGCTGAAGAATCCACATTCGCACAGAAACGGGAGCAAATAAAAAATTGTACGAGAACAGCATGCAGTCTCAAAGCGCTGCTCACCGACAACTTGGCTGCCGACCTTCACCGGCGAAATCGTGATGTACCCGGTCTCCAACAAGAACCATCAATTCTCACAATTTTTCTCACCCAACCTCACAACCCACAATAGAAACACTATCTCAAAAACAACAGTTGACAATGACAGACATCAATGATTCCAAGACAATCAAAGTTGTTGCTCCCAGATTGCGCAGAACTCGGACCGGCAGCTCCGTGCGCAGCGGGGGACGTTCTGGTCCCATTTCAGGCTCCAGGACTCTGCGACGCACCTTCACGTACGATGGTGAACGCGTGGATGGCGCTTCTAGGCAACGCGCATCTCCCAGGAGGAGCCGTCCAGCAATGGAAAAGGAAGCACGAAAGCACTCCCGCAACAAAGAGGTTGGTCAGACGGACACAATCCTCGACATGACGATTGAAATCGGAGGGACCGTGAAGACGATGGATGAGGGTGTAAGCTATGAAAAGCACCACCAAGTAGTCAGAGATATGACTTTTGGAAAGGATGAGCCTTCCCCATCTTTGTTGGCCACAGCTCGCAGTGCCTAGCTAGTCCTTTAGCACACCGCCATCAGGCTTGACAAGACTCGACTCCATTAATCCATATTATTAATGAATCCATCTAGCAAAGAGAGTGAGAAGTAGCAACTCTAGGTTCTCCAGAGTAAGCATTAAAAAGATGTTGATTCAGTCACTCCACAGATATTCACTTACCAGGTCCAACCATGCTGCGCTTCCTTGCTGAAAGCCAAACCGAGCATCCAACTCGCTCCTACACCGTGCCACTGTAGGTGCACCACTGCAGTTTGTTGGTGTTTTGTACTTTGCATCACGTTAGAGTGAACTGAAGGCAGCATGGGAAGCTGAAAGATGGCTTGAGATGTTGGTGCCACGAAAACTGTTTCCAGTTTGTGGTACGCTTGAGCTGGCTTTTGGGCGGCTTTCACAGGCGACAGGTCGGAAGGATCCTCAATCCTCATCACAAGAAGCCCAATTTACCAGTAATGCTAAGGGCCAATGCAAAGATACTCTTCGTATGATAGGGAAAGGTTTGACGCTTGGATTGGACCAGTTACTTGTAGCTGGTACGGTACCGCAATCGCGTAAATTGCTTTTTGAAAAACACCATGCAGTTTTTAATGGTACAGCACAGCTTACAGCAGTGGAAAGGAGCACCAAGAGCTCACAGGTATAGCAAAACTCATATGTTCCAGTGTTCTAGTCAATGTTTCATTACTGCACTTGCACTCTTCCGCTAATTTTGCTCTCTTCTCCTTTCCCAGTTTTCCTCCATGACCCTCCTCCCCTGCCCCCCTTTGCCCTGCTCCCGTCCTCATTGCTCTCCCCGTACGCCCACCACCACCGCCACCCACCACCGCAGTCACTGCTCTGCCTAGCTTTGCCCCCTTGCTCCTTAACATATCTATTGAGTATTTGTTTAGTCCCCCTCTAGCTAGCACGTGTACATGTACTAGCTAGTAGTTTCTTTACTTTTCTCTTTTCAAGTAAATCTTGCAGAGAACGGTAGACTACACTATTGTCATAGTGTCATCTCCAGTCTTGAGCCAGCGGACAGCTACCAAAGACACTACTATTAATAGTAACTCGGAGCACTCGCGATCGTAGCTCATACTAAGTCCTCGATTACTCGAGTAATAGTAATTGTTTTTATTTAACAAATATTATTAGACATCCGTGTGCCCTACAGGTACCGGTATCAGTACCGCTACAATGAGCAAGTCATGCAGTGAGAGCTGCTGTGAGTAAAGTGTGAACCGAACAGTCAAAGGGAAGATAAGTCCTAGTCTACTGTAATGCACCCATACTGTGCCTACAAGTAGTCACGAGTCCATTGGCCTTGATCTTTTTAAAGGCAGTACTCCTACTCAGTAAATTGCTACTGAAATAGCTACTAGTATTGGAGTACTCTGGTAAATGTTTAGATAAAGGAACGGAATTTGCTTCCGTTTGCTAGCTCGCTACTAGTAGTGTACAAGATCGGATACTTAGTAACCTTCTCCACAAAGTGAGATGCTCTCAATTGGCAGGACTGCGAGAGCGGGGGAGATTCGAGATCCCACAATACGTCCAGACGCCCAGAAAGTAATGGCTCCTGCTTAGTTCCACGAATGGCACCAAACTGCTTTTGAGTTGGGATAAGATCATCCAAATCACCATTTGATATTCAAATCCTCCACACACCAGAAGCAGCTCAAAACTAACCAAGCAGCACCTCTTCTCTTTCTTTTGTTTTGCAACCATGAAGTTCTCATCCAAAATCCTTTTGCCCTCATCCTTGCTTATGGCCATCCTTGGAACTACCCTTGGTCATGCTCCTCAGATGTTGAGCTGCATCAGTCCTGGTGGAGATCTCCGTGTGTTCATTGAGCACTCGCATGGCGATTTCTCTTCTCCTCCAACTGGAAATGACCAGTATATTGAGGTCCGAAAGAACAGTGATGCCGCCATGAATCTTTATGCTGATGGGGTGATCAACAACACTCCTAAGACTGCCCTGGGACAATATTGCAAAGACAACACACTCCCTGTTGGTGTTGCTAGCTGTGGCAGGGCGGATCGGTTCAATGATTGGGGCTGGTTTGACTTCCCAAGTGCTGACTGTAATGCACCATCAGATTCCTACACCATCAAGGGAGGACAAAAACCGTTCTTCCATGATTGTCAAGCCATGTACCCCCAGACCTTCTCAGTCACTGGTTTTTGTGCTCCAGTCACAGGAAAGATTGGTGGTGATCCCCACATCCAAACTTGGGATAAGAAGTGGTATGATTTCCATGGACAGTGCGATCTTGTCTTCCTTTCCAACCCAGATTTCAATGATGGCGAAGGTATGGATGTCCATGTCAGAACCACAGGCCGCTACCAATACTCTTACATTGAAGCTGCTGCTGTGCGCATTGGAGATGATGTCTTGCAGGTCAGCTCCCATGGCAGCTACTTTTTGAATGGTATTGGACAGGCCGAACTTCCTGCTACTCTTGGCAAGCACAATGTGACATACTCTATTGATGACAACAATAGGTACACATTCACCACTGATCTTGGAGAGGGAAAGAATGTTGTCGTCCAAACCTTCAAGGACTGGGTCAATGTCAAGATGGATGCCGCTGATATCAAGCACTACGGAAACAGCAAGGGTCTTCTTGGCGCATACCCCAGTGGTGACTGGGTTGGTCGTGACAACTCTGTCTTTACTGATGCCAATGAATTCGGACAGGAGTGGCAAGTTCGTGACACTGATGCCAAGCTTTTCTTGGTCAACCGTGAACCCCAGTCCCCCCAGAAGTGTGTCATGCCCGGCTCCAAGAGTAATGCCCGCCGTCTTGGGGAGTCCATTGCCAAGGCCGCCGCTGAGAAGGTCTGTGAACACTGGGCTGCTGACGAGAAAGACCATTGTGTCTTTGATGTCATGGCCTCTGGAGACTTGGAGCATGCTGCTGCCGGAGCTTTCTAAGAAGGCATTCTATTGGTATTAACTTGCTGGATTGGAAGGAGCTCAGTATCAAGGGCAGCCTCGAGGCCTCACATCAACCAAGCTGTTTGATTGGATCAATAATTACATAGTATCATGTTGTGTTGGATCTGTCTTGTGCAGATTCTGTTGCCACACAATAACAAGGAAACCTGTAAGAAATGCAGGAGTTCCAAACATAACCATAATAAGATAATCATTACAATGACAATACTTTGTAGGAGATTGGAGTATAACTGTCATGCGCCATGGACTGTGTTCCTAGCTAGCACTGATTCTCATCCGGCCAGCTTTTGTCTTTGGTCTAGCTAGGTTTTATTTGATGGTCTACAAGAGCACCCGCGTTGTGTGACGGTACCGCCATTTTTGGTCATGGAAACAAGACACTAGCTAGCTAGGACGTCCTCTCTGAGTAGTACCATACCGGTAGGGTACCAAGGCCAACCACTTTGACAGAATACGGTACGGTGTACAATTCTAAAAAGAGTTCTAAAAGGTTCAGAAGAGGCTGGGCCTAAAAGAAAGAAATAATTTCGTCTCCTGGAGACGATTTGCTTTAGGGGTAATGGTACCGATGGGGGCAGAGGTTTGAATTATACCCGGCGCGCATTACTTAGAAGGCCCTGTAGAAGTCTACGTATTCGACTAGAAAGAAGTGATTGTTGCACCCCCATGTTATCAACATCGACAACGGCTGCAAGATTCGGGCTTTTTTCTCAGGTCAAGTTCAAATCTATCCTTGTGAAGATGAAATGGAGACTATTATTCCACGTACTTTTTATGTAACGGAGAAGACTACACTTCAGTACAGATGGTTTTATGACGGAGAAGTTGTACAACACCAAGATGAAGGGTAAGAGTTCCGATTATCAGCAATTCTGCGACAAACTGGACACAAATTACAGGGATATACTGAAGTGTGGTTATTGGTACAATTCATGGCGATACTGTCAAAACTGGGCTTACGTGGTGTTATCAAGGGTGCGACCATGAGTGGTTTGTTCTTATGAAGAAGCTGGATGGGATCCAAAGAACTTTGCCATGCCACAACGAATGAGAGACATGCTTGCAAGATTTAAGGATACATATTGGGCTTTCTGTCCTAGGGAAGATCAATACGATGAATGTTCCAGCGAGAAGACGGGTTCTTGTTATAAGTAAAACGGTAGGGATATAGGGTAAATTAATCTGTATATAAAACTTTTATTACTACAACTACCTTTCTGAGATTCGCATTGCACTCGTACGTCATTCAATGTAGTCATTGAAAAAAGATCAAGCGTCCAATCAAATCACAGGCGACCCCGAAAAATTAGAGCCAACTTTTAAAATGTGAGAACGCAGGCGACTTTCATGTGCAGTACATGCGTTGACTGTATACCCGTCAAATACAATA